CCGAATACTACTGTCAGACGAATAAGGAGGGTGATGACAAGCAGTCCCACTTGGCGTGGGACATTCATCCTTGTCATCGGCAGGCGATTTGCGGAATAAGTTGACCGCGTTGGTTCTGCCAAAAACGCTGCTTGCTTGCCCGAAATATTTGGGGAAACCGCAACTTTTGAGAAATGTCGCAGCTGAGGCAGTGCTGCGAACCAATATCTGAAACGGAGGGCGATGACCCCATCATGGCCGGCGGCAAATTGTTTCCGATTGGATCCAACCGCTGAACACTTTATGCATTGGAATCACGCAATTCAAACCTTGGAATCTGCTTCCCAATCGTCAACCTACGTTTTTGGGTGCTGGATTTTGGGGGGTGGACACGCACTGACTGAAAGAGTTTCACACCATGGCCGGTCGCTATCAGCATAGCAAGACCACTATTGGCGTGGACCTTTTCCAAAAAGTTTCCGAAGCACGCGTGCTGATGGTCGGTGCGGGCGGGATTGGATGTGAACTTTTGAAGAACCTTGTCATGTCCGGCTTTAGCTACGTGGAAGTGGTATGTTCTGGCCAGTGTGATTTTGGAAGCAAGCAACAATATGGAAAATAGAATGCTGAGAACCCTCACCGTTCTCAAAGGTAGATCTAGATACAATTGACATGTCCAACTTGAACAGGCAGTTCTTGTTTCAGCGACATCATATCGGCAAAGCAAAGGCCTCCGTAAGTGTGCATGTCATTATTCTTTTCAATGTATCGAAGTCATTTTCCATTCTACGAAACATCAGCTGAAGTGTCTCAATAACTTCAGGTCGCGCGAGAATCCGCCCTTCACTTCAACCCAGATGCGAAGATTGTGGCACACCATGCCAGTATCTACGAACCGCAGTTTGACATCTCTTGGTTCAAGTCATTTGATATAGTCTTAAATGCTCTCGATAATTTAGGTATCCTTGAATCAACCTCTATACTGTAGTATAACCTCAGGAAACTAACTTTAATGGAATCTCAGCCGCACGTCGTCATGTGAACGGAATGTGCTTGGCAGCAGGTGTGCCTTTGATCGAATCTGGAACAGAAGGGTTCAGGGGTCAAGTAACACTCCACATGAAGGTAGGACTTTGTATGGAAATATACCTGCTTTTAGGATGCCAACCTTAGTTTTGATCTTAGCGTTTGACGCGCTGTTATGACTGCGATGCGAAACCGACGAAGAAGACCTATCCAGTATGTACCATTCGAAGCACGCCAAGTGCACCTATACACTGTATTGTATGGGCGAAAAGCTACCTCTTCAAGTAAGCATGTTCGTAGTTAACGGTTAGTCGGGCGCTATTGTCTCAGGCTCGAATGGAGTCAGCTGTTTGGTAACACAGAAGAGGAAGAGCCAACCATAAACCTCGAAGAGACATCTCAGAACGGTATATCTTCATATATGTGTACGCTTTTACATCCAAATTTCACACCTGTCTGCGTTCTAGCCGAGGAAATGGCCCATCTCCGCCATGAAAATGAGGCATTGAAACGTTTGAGGGATGCCATTGGGTCAGATGCATACGGAAAGCTGGTGTTTGAGAAGGTATCGCGCCCTTGGAGACATAAACGGACCTCCAAGAACTCAACGCCAACTCCCTTTAGGTATTCACAGATGATATCAAGGGTTTACTTCTAATGGAGGAGCTGTGGAAGAACCGTCGACCGCCCACTCCACTAAATTTTGAAGAAATAGCGGGTAACCGAAAGAGCACAAAACCAATGAGAGACAGTGTGGAGTGGAATCAATGGGACCACAAAGTTTGGACTTTGGAAGAGAATGCCGAAGTATTTCTCGAGAGGTTTGTAGTTTCTTATTCTGCCTGTCATTATTCCTAGATTTTTGGTTGATTACATACCGCAGCGTGCCTGAGCTTGCCAAACGGCTCCTGGAACAGCGGAGGACCGATCCAAACTACAGTTTGAGTTTCGACAAGGACGATGACGATGCCCTGAACTTCGTCACCGCGACCGCCAACTTGCGGGCATACATATATGGATTGGAGCAGAAAAGCAGATTTGCGGTGAAAGGTGGTATTCGTATTCTATTTGGCAACTTTAATGACTCGTTCTAGGAAACGTTCCAACTCTAACGTTTCCCTAAAAGAAATGGCAGGAAACATCATTCCAGCCGTTGCAACAACAAATGCAATCATTGCCGGACTCATTGTTCTTACGGCGATGAAAGTGCTTGGAGGAAATTGGTCTGACTGCAAAAACGTACGAACCATAGATCCATTCCTCTCCTGTATTCGCATATTGAATTCCTTGTACCAGACATGGGTTGCCAGCACTATCAACCCTGAACGACTGGATAAACCCAACTCAAACTGTGCTGTATGCACAACAGGCTCCTTTATCCTGACAATCAACACGCGCACGGCGACATTACGGGACTTAGTGGAGCGCGTCATTCAGCAACATCCCGAGGGCGAGGACGAAAGTCAAGGATTGGGTATATCCGGAGAAATAACAGTTCAGGAAGGGGATAGGTCGGTATCTACGTGATGCCACAAAATACTTGCTGATCTCTCATCATTGATTGTGAGATAGGTTGCTATATGATCCGGATTTCGAAGACAATATGGATGTGACATTGAAAGATTTGGGAATTTTGCATGCATCCCGAGTGATGATAACAAACGATGACGATGACGAAGAGACCAAAAACGTCACTGTGGTCTTACATATTGTCCATAGGTGCGATCACAGAGTGGGATTCTGGTACTGCCTGACTACTGAAAGGTTCTTTATTTTACAGTGACAGTCTTGGTGAATCGGAAACTCTCTTTATACTTGATGGGGATAGAGATATTCCTCCTCGTCCTCGGAAGCCTGAGCCTGAAACTAACGAGACCAAACGCTCTGCAAACGACCTGACGGAGATAAACGGCGAATCCAGCTTGACCAAAAGAAGGAAAATGGACCCAGAAGTTACGGCGGTTGATGACGATGTGGTCGTTGTTGGCGATTGAAGTTAACTAAGGTAATGAAGGAGGGTGACCTCGAAGCTGTGATTATATAGACAGCAATGTAGGGGGCAATATAGGCAAGTTGCTTATCAGCTTAGTGGGATGTCCACTCCGCGTGGTATAATATAATTGTATATATACGAAGTTTCACAATGTATCTCAAGCGCTGCCTACTATCGGAATTGTGGAAGGGCTGGTTATGCCATTCACGGATGAAGCGTTTGGTGCTGATGACGGTAGCGGCGGTTGAGATACTGGTCCCGACCCGTTCACAGGCTTACTGTCTGCGTTAGCTGCGGTGAGATCGACAATAGTTGCTTCATTACTCGCCCTCCCTTCTAATTTCTGAGTGCCCACATTGGCACTGCTCTGCTTCTGCTCGAGTGCACGTCGTTTAATATTGTCTAAATGTCTTTGTTTATGCAGCAACGTTAAGCGAGATAGGTGCGCATTATTGACGACCGGACGACGGTTTGGTCGAACTTCATTTGCAAATCCGGGTATTCTGAGATTCCAATTACGCTCTGCCAAGGAGCACATTCAATTAGAACGTTAAGATTCCCACGATGTGCTAGCTGGTCGCAGCATACCGAGTTCTAGCTGCAAATCCTTGATGCCAAGCGCAGTGGCGCCCCGGTGTTTGGCGGCTTTACATGCCCTCTTGGTGACTTCCAAAATAAAATCATCGGCAAGATGCAGGAGAAACTGAAGTTCTGATCAATCCAAGAGGAACGGAGCCACAACTTGAAATCGACAAGTCAGAACAAGTGCACCCACCTCCTCAGTTTCAGGTTCCAGCCTTTCACTGGGATCAATCTGCTCGACAAGCTCGCTCAGTTTTCTCTTCCCAAGCACCGAATCCAGTGTCAACATGGGACTACTGGTCCCTACGTCCGGGTTTTCTTGAGGTAGCTCTTCCCCGATGGGAGGTGGTGTTGCCTTACGAGGGATAAAAGCGGATCCGGTTCCTGTGAAAGGAAGATACACCGAGAATGGGACGATCTTAGAATTGGTCACCCTTAGATGAAAGAACCATTTAATCCGTGGCTGCAATACAACCTGGCGCCGGTGCTACAAATATTGGTGGTGCTGGTGCTGGATGCATCATGGGATCAGCTTCAAGTGGTGTATTATGTCCAAGTAAATCGCTCTATGAAAATTCTGCCTACCTTGCTGTTGAGGACTCATTGCCGCTGGACCCCCTACCGTAGGGGATTTTCCTACTAATTGCGCGTTCGCTGGCTGAACTTGTGAGGACGCAATGCTAATTGCGGGTTGACCTGCCTGTGCCGAAACTAGTGGGGCTGTCGAGACCTGAACCGCCAGGGGCCGTTGGACAGCTGTCGGCCGTTGTGCTTGTTGTTGCTGTTGCTGTTGTTGCAATTGTGGATGTGTGGGTGCATGGGGTTGGGGTATTGGCTGCATGGGTCGCTGTTGAGAGACTGGTTGTGCTTGTGGTGGCTGTGGTCGTAGGGCTGATATGTTTTGGGCTACTGCTGACCCAGGAAGTGGCTGTTGAGGACGTGGCCCGCTCGCTTGAGCCCTTAGAAGCTGCTGCCGCTGGAGCTCCTGCCGGCGCGTCATTGCCCCATACCAGTTTCTCATAGGCGCCGTCATGTGCTGCCAGACGGCCTGTGCTTGTTGCTGTGCCTGTCTGCATTGTTCGGTGAGTCTTCGTTTCTCGTCTTCCGTCGTGGCTTGATCCGCGGCCTGTTTCAAGTCGACAGATGCTTTTCTGAATTGATGGAACCTTGATATAATTTGTTTTTCCTGTGCTGATATATTTGGCATCTGATTTGGTATAATATTTGCTCCGCCTGTAGTCGGTGTTGCAGCGGTGGGTGCACTGTTTGGCCGAGGAGCACCAGGCATCGCACCTGCAGCTACCCCAGCGGCACTTAAGGCAGGCAGAGGAACAGAACCGGTCCCTTGAATATTTTGAGGGCGCTGTATTTGCTGTTGAGGTCTCTGCTGCATTTGTGGGTTCATCGCGTTCGTGGCTTGCGCTGGTGGATGTTGGATTGGGGGGCTCGGAAGCGCCGCCTGCTGCTGAAGGAGATGGTTACGGATAGCAAATTGTCGCAGCTGCTGTAGCTGTTGCTGTTGTTGTGTAAGGAGCTGTTGTTGTTGTTGTTGTGGCAAGCTTGCGGCAGGTACCGTTCGAGGTGAAAACTGTCCTGGAATTGTCATTCCAGGAAGAGCATTTTGTGGGAAGCCCTGTAAAGCCATTTGGCCAGCAGCAAACCCTAGCTGCCCGACAACCCCACCGGGTAAGGACCCCATCATACCAGCTTGCTGTTGTATTACAGCACCACGACCTCGGCCTCTTCCTCGTCCCCGGTTTGCGACATTCTGAATAAATCCAGGTCGACCTACTAACGTTGCTGACGCATTCAGTTGCGGAGACGCAGTTCCTTGAGGTATTAGCGGCGTGGCCTGCGACATGAGCGGCGGGTTTGGAGACATGATAGGGTTGACAGGTAAGAGTTGAGGTGAAGCTCTGGCGCCTATTTGCTGCTGCTGTTGCAAGAGGTTTTGTTGCTGTGCTCCAACCACCGACGCAGTCGGCATCGTATAAAGGGAATCAGACATTGGCTGCGGTGACGCTCTGCAGCATGTGTGGATGCAAAGGCGTACGCACAATCCGTTGCAAAAGAGCTGGGATCTCAGCTGTTGAGCTCTGCGCATCCCGACACGTGACCTGGTACAATTATCGTAAGCCCAAGTCCGCCAGTGTGATATTGGTTGAAGTTGAAAAGCACTATGTACAGAATGCATGAGTTACATCATGCCATGCTAGAGGATGAGTACACCATAATGTTTTTGTTGCCGGGATCCACCTGATGTGTAGAGAGATATGTAAGGTAGGAATTTAAGCGTGATTCCTGCGGACCCGACGAACCTGTGCAAGTTGCAACCGCTTTTTAACAAGGAAGAATCCTCCAGCTCCAACAATAGCGCTGCCAATTACACATCCAGTAGCAATAAATGTTGGACGGATCCACGTAGGCAGTCCGTCGGTCTTGACATCATTTCCTCCCGTTGATGAAGGGGTAGAAACTGTTTCCATGTGTTGCGTCCCATCTTACATGCCCATAGCAATTAGCTGTAAAGTTTAGTTACATATTATATTGCTGTCAATCGTACCTGGCTCTACCCAGTCCGCCCAATTAAGCTTCGTCAAATTCGCAGCAGCCGACGAGTTCCTTGAGAGGCACTGACCCTCGAACGCATGGTCCCCGCATACGCCGCAGCCGACGTCGTCAGCAGGCCCGCATTTACGGTGCTGAAGAGAGCAAGGTGTTCCAGGCCGCTTGGGGGTGACTGTGGCTGGACACTCTTCACTTGCAGAATCGCAAAAGTACCCTTTGAGGCATGTGCCGCTATCTTCCGCTTTCCGGCATAGATGTGTTGAGTTTCTCAGAATTCCGTATGCATTGCAACAGGGCTTTCTCCTGGGTTGGCTTCTACTATTAATGTGAGCTGATACCTGCTATCAACTGAACTGAGATATCACCTGTCACAAACATTCGGGCGATCGTCTCGCCGGCACATGCCGCCCAAACACACCATTGTCTGATCATGAAAACTGCCACAAAGCGTTCCATCCGTCTTATTTCGAATCCTGCCGGATCCGTCTCGAAACATCAGACATCGATCAGGGTTTTCAGGATCCTGGCAGCCGACAATTAGATGTCGTGGCCAAGCATCTACTCACAGCAGTTACGAACCAGACATGCTAGCGTGCAACTGTATTGCGTAGGTAACATATACGGACAGTCTTCGTAAGCTCCAGATGGTGGCGCTTTCGGTAAATTCGGCGCCGCTTTACATTGGTCCTCAGCTGAAGCTCTTGCCTTAAGATTGGGACGTCCCAACTAACTTTCAATTATGAGGATACCTTCAATAACTGCAGTATACCATAGGTCCGGGGTGGCATTTTCTTCCAACCCCTAGTTTTGAGGATTCGTTACAAAGTTGGATTGAATCCTGATAAGAAAGAATGGGCCTACCGTCAGCGCATTTCTTGCGACGAAGCAACTTGCGATCTGGTTGAGTGCTCTGTTGATCGAATATTGAGAGCAGCTAGAGAACTTTCGAGAATTGCTTGAAGTAGAAGCTGATGGATACATTATATAGGGCTTGACGAGTTTGAGTTCAGACAGTAGGGTCCGTGCGAGAAAGCGCGTAAGTGTGTACCTGAGGTGGCAGGCATTCTGGGGGATTACCAGGAGGATCTTCATGCTGACCATCTTGCAGATTCGCAATGTTTAGTGCTTTGCCTACTCTCAGACACAAGCCTTCATGTTGTTTACCATGAAATCTGCGTGCAACGGAATGAACAATCTGGCTTAAGCTGAACATAACACACATTTCCTACTTACGATCCCATCCCGTGGCCCAGCTCATGAGCCAAAGTTACAACCGCCGTCGACTAAAGTCAATAGACAAAGTAGATGACTGAGTAACTTTGCTTATAGCAGCGGTAAAATCATACATACTCTAGCCACAAGCATGCTTCCATATATCGGGGTGGAAATGCCGGTGTTATAGCCACCACCTGAACATATTCCCCCCGCATATCCTTTCCTTCCGACCTGTGTGGATCCTTAGTGCATGCTACGTTGAATCGCTTTGCCGCATGACTCACATAAGCTAACCCAAGAGTCGGATTGAAATCTTGGAAGGTCATGAGATGGACCAAGCACGCACCGTTGAACGACGGAAGCCGCTTGTTGAGTACAGCTACCTGCAGTTGTGAAAGAAGGTCTGATGCTGATGTCGCGGGTTTTCCAAAGCCGCTGGGATCATCGACATTGCGCACCACATACAGATAACTGTGACATGCCGGTAAGTACGCCAGCTCAATATCGCCAGGACCTTGCTCTAACCTGATGGGAGTACCAACGTTGAACTCCTCCAGATAAATGCTGTCCACATCGTTAAAGAGTGACAGTATAGTCCTCTCAGAATCGTTGCCAAACATTTTACTGAAGGTGATGTCCGCGACGACAGCGACTGGGCAATCCCGACCATATCCCACGGTAGCGGGTTGAGCCATTTGGAAAATAGACATGCGAGGAATATTGGAGAGCATCAGAGGGCAAATAGTTTCTCCTGGCCGACATTCTACTTCTATCGCACTCTGATCAATCGCAATGTTGTTAACGGCGCGCTCTGCAAGTGACGGAAGTCCCGAGTGCCACAACTCCTCTGTTATGCCACCAGGAGCAGGGACTTCAAAACAAGTTGGCCGTTCTCGAAACTTATCCAACAAATCATGATCCTCGTACATAATCATGCTCATTTGCGGAGCGCTTAGGTCCGTGCCTGAGCGAACCAATTCAATGTGTAATGTTTTCCGTTGTCCCTCGTCATCGTCATATGTGATTCTGCCTTCAAAGAGATCATTTCCCATTGCAGTTAACCGAACACTTGAATCCGGCTGTCCACTAACCCTTCCCTTGAGCACCGAGCTAGCGTCAAATGTGGACGAGAAGCTGGCGGGATTTGCGTAGTGCAACTTCCGGAGAAGGCCGACATTCACCTCAACATCAACTGTCAGCGACCGCCTTGGGGTCGTAAGCTTAAGTTCCCAAGAATCGGCCTCCCCTACAAGAGAGCGTTTGTGCCGTCCCACTGATTTCACCTCCTCATATCTTTTGAATAAAGTCTGCAAATCTGAATGTTGGTAGCTTCGGTCAATTCGGTTGTATGATGACATATATCGGTCCTGAATACCTTGGCCATAGCTACTGAGTGCTCGCGCATATGTTACAAGTAATACTAAGTATATCAGTGCTTCATATACAGGTACATACATTGCTTCCTCTAGCTCTGTTTTTTATGTGTATATCGCATGCCCACGACCAGCTATCCAATGCGGAGATGCTTATATAAGCAATGGTTGGAATCGGAGACATCCAGCATTAGCGGTTGATCGGCCAACAAATTGGTCAGACAGCTTTCAGGATCGAGCAGCCCGAAACTTGGCCGCGTCTGATCTGCAACAGATCTTTCTACATACGATAATGTCTGACCAAAAAACAACCCTCAATACTGGAAATGGAGTGGCCGAGGCTGGTCCAACTGCGCCGACAACAGATGGAGGCTGGGGTAAAAGCGGGACAGCCTCATCGGATAGTACTCCGTTGACGTCCGGTGATGTTGGAGGCTGGGGACCTGCACCAGCTGCATACAAGTCTACTGGATGGGGTGAAAACCCGAAGTTTGACATGGGAAAACCTAAACCCGACAGTCCCGCTACTACCACGACATTCAGCGGCTGGGGCCAGAGTCCAACCGCATCGATTGGCAACGGCAACGATACCAAAGTGAAGTCTAACAGCTCACCCGCCTCAGCACTTTCGCCAGACTCTAAGAGTACGTCGGCTTTCACCCTTGTATTAGCTGTTTGCACTTGGCCGAGCGGGCGCTCATTCTCAAATGTTTGTCGTCAACTTCATTAGGCGAAGATGTTGAGGAAATTGTGGAACGGGTAGACAAGCTCTCGACTGATGATGTTGAAGATGATGTGGGGCCCATGAGGAGGCCTGGACTAGTGGAGTCCGATGAAGTTGTCGAAGTGAAACTGGCAGATCTTGAAGCCGATGTGAACAACACACTATATTCGGGAGTTTCTACATTTGAGGATCTTGGATTACATCCAGATCTTCTAAAGGGACTCTACGCTATGGGATTTCAACGTCCTTCCAAAATTCAAGAGAAAGCGCTTCCTTTGCTATTAGCCAACCCCCCAAAGAACATGATAGGACAATCACAATCCGGCACTGGAAAAACCGCGGCATTTGTACTCACTATGCTTAGTCGTGTTAACTTCGCTTTGAATGCCCCTCAAGCGATCTGTCTGGCTCCGGCCCGTGAGTTAGCTCGACAGATCATGGATGCTGTAAAAGAAATGGGAAAATATACACCTGTCACGACAGCGTTTGCCATCAAAGAGTCAGTTTCACGCGGGGATAAAATCAATGCACACATCGTGGTTGGTACTACGGGCACAGTGAATGACCTAGTCAGGCGGAGAGCGTTAGATGTTACGAATGTGAGGATTTTCGTTCTCGATGAAGCAGACAATATGTTGGACCAGAGTGGACTTGGCGATCAAAGTATTCGCGTGAAGAAGTGAGTATGGATCAGATATGAGAAAGTCAAGCAGAAATCTGATTCCTACATTTATCACAGTCAAATGCCTCGTAACTGTCAAATCGTATTGTTCTCCGCAACATTCCCAGAGAACGTTCGGAATTTCGCGGTAAAATTTGCCAAGAACGCTAATATGATCTCACTGCGACAAGAGGAATTGTCTGTAGAAGGAATTAAGCAATTCTACATGGATTGCCGTAATGAGGAGCACAAGGTGGAGGTTCTGTGTGCTCTCTACGGGTTACTCACTATTGGCCAGAGTATTATTTTCGTGCGGGTGAGTCGCTGTTTTCATAAGGCCTCATCGGCATTGAATTGAACACCTCTCTTTATGTGTGAACCAGCGAAGGGAAGTCGCTGAAAAGCTGGGTAAAGCACTGAGCTCGCAAGGGCATGTATGCCTGGTCCTACACGGTGGTTTCGGACCTGAAGAGCGTGATAAGGCAATAGACGACTTCCGTGACGGGCGCTGCAAGGTCCTGATCAGCACCAATGTGATAGCGCGGGGTATCGATATTTTGCAAGTCAATCTGGTAGTAAATTACGATATGCCATTGGACGCAAATCGCCGCCCAGATCCCGAGACCTACCTTCATCGTATCGGCCGTACTGGACGATTTGGACGCAAGGGTGTGAGCATTAACTTTGTGCATAATGAAGAGAGCTACAGGGAGATGAAAGCAATTGAGGCGCACTTCGGGCGAGAGATTGTACGTGTACCAACGGAAAATTACATGGAAGTGGAAAAGATCTTGAAGAAAGCAGTCAAATGAACTGGCCGATGTTTGAGCTACTGCGGGATGATGTATTTGCCATGTGTGGGGATGTTGTTAATGCTTCATAGTCGTTGTCTGTACAAAAATTGATATAATGACTGGCGTCAATGAAGGGCGAGTCTCATGCATTGCTGTCATCTGTGATGAGGTCCTGCTCCCATGCGCAGATCACCGGCGGTCCTTACTCTACTACACAAGACGCCGTCATATACAGTATGTAACCTGTGAACAATGCTCAACCATGAAAGCCAAGAGTCGATACAGTATGACCAGAACCTGGAACAGATCAGAATCAGCCTTACACCACAAGCAGCAACTCATGGACCCCAACGCGAACGACTCCTCCGATGATGGAGGAGATTTTCCAGCCGCGGAGGATGCGTTGCTAGAGCTTTTTGATACGAGTAGTCCCAGGGACCGATGCGCGGGACCGTCATCCGATGAAGTTTCAAGTGTGGTTAAAAAGGAGTCCAAGATCTCTATGGCACATGCTCTGGAAAGTCGAGAAGGTTGCAATACATCTATCTTTCCCAGTCCTGGGCGGCACTTGAAGGTTGTGGCCGGGGTTGCCACTGGAACAGGTACCTGCAAACTTTCAAAAAGCCCTTCTCTATCAACCGCCAGGCGCACTCGGCAGACTACAGAATGCGAACGGTCTTCTCCGAGCATAACGGAGGGCGAACAATATTTTCGTCGCAAGGGTACCCTTGAGTCGACTAGCTCCGCTTCTGCACATGTGAGAGCCAAAGAGCGTGGATATTTAGAAAGGGCACCGTGTAGTGGGAATACGACTGGCAACAACTCTGAGGCCAGTTTGGGGTCTTCTCTTGTGCATAACTATGAAATCTCAGTCCCGAGAACAGGGAGAGTATCTGAATTTTATGAACCGATACCGCACGTAATGAGCAACCAGAGTGCTCCTGCTTGCACCACCGTGGGGAGCGTGCAGGAAGGAGGGCTCCAACATCGAAACACTTCACTATCATTGGATATGTCACGGGTAAACAGGGTTTACCGGGGAAGTTCGAGAACTAGAGTACATCGAAGAGAATCGCCAGTGAAGAACATATCCTCTGCATCGGATGCGCAGGGTTCTGAGATCGCAGCTGCTATTGAGAAGGTGGCAAATATCCGATCGAATCCACCATGGAAGATCAGCTACACAGCGAAAATCGCAGGTCGCGTCAAAACGATCGAGACGTCAGCGTCAACTGGTAAAGCGGGGAAATCAGTACAGAATCAAACAGGTTGCTTTCTGAAACTTTTCGAAGCGCGCATAAGGCTTCCGTCTCCAATCAAAGAGAGACGAAGAGCATCTGGTGACTGGGATATCGAAGATTCTGGAGATGAAAGAAAGGAAGAGGAGGGACTAAGATGTCCGCAGTGTCTGCGAGTGTTGAGCCTGCCGTTGTCGCTTTCTGTGGGTCGTCAGTTTTATAAGCTACGCGAAAGTGAGGTTGTGAGAGACGATGAAATTGTTATCCGAGATCCAATCGCGTTGTATGAATTCTGTCGTACGCATACTGCGGAAGATGATATAATACCGGCTGGTTTAGCCATGGGATATCCTCGAGAGATAGACTTCAAAAATACGCGGCGCCGTGTACGGCAGATGTTTGCCGATCTACTAAGGATTATTGAAGGAAGGGAAGAATCCTACTATAGGCAATTGGCATTAGCCCTGTACAAAGAGTTGGGGACGCGGAAAGCTCAAGGTGACTAAGCGAGCAGGATGTGGACGTGCTCTTGTAGTGTCGCTGAGTGGCTGATGTTCCAGGTGTAAGATATAAGATGAATACAATGAAGGGAATATCGTGTGGGTATTATGGGAAGGTAAGCTTTTCCTACCGAGAATGAAATATGACTTGTTTACGAACATTTCCGTGCATTCTGTAGACTGGAGCTAGGGTCATCATGAAAACTATCTATGATATGTTTGTAGGCACCGCTGGAAAAACGCCCTATCTGACTGCAAGGATGACCGCACCGCAACCCATCATCGAATATATTCAAGACGTCCTTGTCCCAGAAGCAGCGATTCGGCTCATTATGGACGATTGCACCATTCATGATAAGCGCCAAGCTCGGGACATCCTGACGGCCAGCTCGGACTTCGGATCCGTCATGTTCCCAGATAGTGACGATGAGCACAGTGATGCAGATGAGGAGCCCGACTTGCTGCATTCACCCAGAGTGGCGTCTGGTATTACAAATTCAGATACCCTATTCGTTTCGTCTCCGGAGATGACGGAGGAAGAAAGGCTGACACCGGATGGCACGTCGCAGGATCTTACGGGCGAATGGTCGACAGATTATGATTCAATCATATGGGTTGTTTGATGTACGTTGTTTGCGCAAAATACATCAAAAGCGAATAATACCACCCTTGTCCATTTCCAAGATTTGGAAGCAAATTGGCATAATGTAGACGTGAAGAGTGGTAATAGCAAGCGGCACCAAAGTTAAAGGGAGCTTCTTTCTTTTATACATCCTGATAAATGCTTCTTGGAGCATCACTGGTGATGTGCCGGTCTTTCGGTGTGCTTACGTGTGCGATCGATGAGTCATACCCCGCTAACTCAAAATGCATAGTGTGGAGGTGATTGAAAATGGCACTAGAACTCATTATTATCCGGATTAATCCGGTTAGTCATATCGCATAATCAGCATCCCCTCTATCACTCAGATTGGTGTGGCATGCATGCTAATGTTTTTTTTTTAAACTGCGGTGAGGCGCATGTCAAAGGTCTATAAAAGGGGGGCCTTTTGCTGTCTCTTTCCTCTTTACCCATCCTCAACTCTCAAAGCATCTGCCAAACACTCAAGCAACTCTCAAGTCCATCATGAGAGTACTGCTCTGGTGTTGAGGACCTCACCCTCCCAACTACAACAACAACATAACCCCTTGCAAATACTATTATTACTATGCTGCAACAATCACAGGTATTTCTTGCTGATTTTCCCACGCGGATTATCCAGTCTAATTCTGATCTACCTTAGTATCTGAACATCCTCCAACTAAAGAATTTCGGAAGGATTTCTCTCGTGTGGTGGGCTTAGTTACCCGGTTAGAAACAACCATAATGTATTGCATGTGTAATTGGGCCTAGTGGTAGTTGGTTGGTTGTAAGGAGGGAATTACTTGGCTTTTCCGAACCGGTTGTCGCCGGTTTATTCCCTGGTGTATTGTGTTGTGATATTTGTTATTGCCAATACACTACCTACTGACTTTCGCTCCATCGTACGCATGTCCAATCCACTCGAACGGTTAAAGCAAAAGTTTAAGGCCCGTGTAGAAAAGGAGGAAGTCTCTGCCACCGCAAGCATTGATCTCCAGCCGGCTGACTCTTCTATCCTCCCCGACCTCAGTATCATAGTCGAGAAACTCGATCCGTCCAAACCCATTGACCAGTCGCAACGTGCGCAGAGTATCACTGAGCTTGCCGATGCAGTGCAAAAATTTAATCTGTCCTCAGAAATTGAAGACTTGTGGCAGCTTGTTGTACCATTCACCAAAATTTCAAACTCGGAGGCAGTCCGACATGGGGCTTTAGGTTTTGCACGCGCCTGCGTCTTGTCGAACACGAGTTACAGTGACCTCTTCCGTGCATCGCTTTTCAAAACGGTGGTGAGTGAGGAATGGGGCAGTGAACATCTTGGAGTACGAATTCAGACGTTGCGCGACTTGGCAAAAGATGGTCGCGATTTGCGGGAACTGGAGCTGGACGTAGGACAAAAGTTATGCGAATGGACCACGCAGTTTGCGGATTTTAACTTGGAGGCCAAGGTAGGAGCATCTGTGCCAACTACAGTTGCGTCCGCACCCGCTAGTGATCATATGACGCCAGACATTGCTTCAACGCGACAACTGCTTGCCCTTATCACCAATGTGATGAAGTTCTCCTTCTTATCTCTTCGCGAATCGCATGTCGCGCATTTGGTGGTAACCGCATGCTCTATGGCGTCCCGCACTACAGCGATTGAGCTCGTTCACGACGTGCTACTGTTATTGGACGGCGTAGTGCGATATGGCTCTGTTCCCATGGCCGCCTTGCGGCCAGTGATTGAGATGCTGTCATATACAGTCAACCTGGCTGCATACACGCAAGAAAGCTGGCAAGTAATGCGAAATCTGCTTAAATCACATAGAGCGCGACACGCGATGGATCACCTTTGCCGCATCATTGACGGAATCTCATCAAGTGAGCAAGCTCTCCAACTCCGGGGAGCCGTCTTTATGGTCGCCATGGCTAGCTGGGGTGCACAGCGAGTGAAAAATCTCTCATACCCATACATGTACCTGTTGCCGTACTTGCGACGAGCGACACGCTTAGGTGATAAGGACGTTAATACTGAAGTGCTCCTATCAATTCAGCGACTGATATCAGAGAACGGTGAAGAACTTTCAAGGGTTGAGTGGGAGTTGCTGTTGGATATTTTGCGAGAGATGAGCAAACATTTTGTGGTGGACGCACCAGGCAGACCTTGCCAAATCAGTGGCACGAACGCCAAATCTTGGAGCGAATTCGCCGCTCCATCTCCTTTGTTTTTCGACTTATTCAATGAAGTATTGATCTCATTGAAAGATGTGTGCCTGGAGCAAGCAGGGCCGATGTCTTTGGCGTTCCTGGAATTGTTGTTGTCCTTTGGACCTTACCTAACTGAGACGACAGTACTGTCACTTCTGGAACATGCCTTCGGTGTCTCATCGTATGCGGCTTTTTCTGAAAGGGTCGCTATTATTTCGCGTATTCAGTCGGTTTTCTTCTTTCGTGAGCACCGCCAGTCAATCCGCATGCGTATGCTACAGCTGTTGATTGATGCATTTGTCATGTCCTCGCAGGAAGAGCAGGAGGAGATTTTCGAGGTCCTGTTGCAGCCCATTATGCGGCACCTGCCTCGCGAAGAAGCGCAGTCGCCTGTTTATTACGAGATGATATCGTGTCTGGCCCGCGTCGCACCAGGATCTGCAGAGAAGCATGTTGTTTCAGTCGTAGAAGCTCTCGTACAGTGTGCTTTAAACACCGAGTCGGATGCCATCGCAAGTGTACTAATGCTGGCCGAATTGCTCTCTGCCATGGCCACGCAGTCGACCGTTGCCGTAAACCCAGGCACTGGTACCTTGACCGCCGACATGTCATTACGCGCTTTGCATGCGACCCTGGAGATCTTTGAGCGTTGCGCAATGGAGCACGGCGGAAAAGGCTGTCTCCTTATTTTTAAGTACCTTGTCCGGATACCGACATTCCATGCAGCCCCACATTTCGTTCGGCTGGCATGCCTCCAGTATTTGCTAAAAATGCGTGCCGACGCGCTCTACAGGATCTTACTTCGACCAACCTCGCGTACTGTTCAAAAGGGTGAGCAGGAGATGCGGGCGACCAAAGGCTCATCAGACGATAGTTCCGGAGAGACATTCTCCAACACCGACGACCTTGAAATATGTTCCTCATTATTCTGTTCTGGGAAGCCAAACAATGAGATTACCGATATGCACGAAAAGTCAGCAGACCCTCAGTCGGCAGAACGAAGCGAGTCAGATATATGCATTTTGCCGATTGCCCAGCACACCGCTGCATTGCTCCTGATCCTAACAAGGGAGAAGAACTGGGAAATTTACTCGTTTGTTTTACAGAACCTGGCTACCCAACTGCTGAACCTTCACTTCTTCCAGAACGCTGGACCACAGCTCAGTGTTCTTCGCGCGTTCTTGTGCGAGTTGATTATAAATGAGCGGGCTGCTGCGACAGTCTTGGATCTACCGCCATCTGTGCGGAAGTCTGACGTGTATCTATCTGCACTGAAGATGTTGAATATCCTTCTAGCCTATCGACACTTTTTCACGAAACAAGACGAAGATGAAATTCTAGCCGCTTTTCAAACCGGCCTGTATCGATGGCCGAATGCGGCAAAAACCTGTATCCACGCATTTACATTGACTCTGCTTGAACTTCCGCATAGCATGATGAAGCTTCTCCCGGGAACTCTTTTGAAAGTGTCCCAGATGATGTCGTCTGCTATGGCGGTCCACAACCTTGAATTTCTGGCTACGCTAGCCGGGCTACCAAAGCTGCGAGTTAACTTCACCGACGTGGATATGAAGAGAGTTTTCGTCATCGCTCTCCAATACATTAACACAACCAATTCAGCATCTCCGGCAGCCACAACATCTGCATTATCATCTTACGTAGTCCAACTGGCCTATCAGGTTCTGCTTGCATGGTTCGTCAGTCTGAAGCTTCCAGAGCGGAAGAAGTACGTGCCCTTCATCATTCATTATCTGTTACTGGGGAATGACCGCCGGGCATCCCTTGATGAGAATATCGAGCTGGTTCTCGACATGCTCATTCATCACTCTTTCGCTGACTGCTGGCCAAAACCGGACGATACGATGTACCAAGGCAGTAAAATCAATAAACAACCATCGCGCACCTGGGCTCAAGGAAATTCGCTTTTAACTGTTCAAGTTTCGAATCAGCCCGGATGGGCGAATGTCATCATTCGGCGTCCCTCAGGTGTAATATCATTTTCGGTACGATTAGACAATCGGCTCAAGTCTGTTACCACTCCGTTAGTGCCACTTTTGGCGCCAGTAGCCTTTGAAAAGATTTCTCGTGGGCTTCGCGCGTCCCAAAGCAAGCGGGCCGTTGCAAGTGACGATGGTGCCGGAGCCCAATCTCTACGGAGGAGCGATTCCGATGGTAGCTCGCACCAGCATGTTCGGAGACATATGCGGTCAGTTTCTGTCGCTTCCTTGTCTTCAATTCCGAACACTAGCGAATTTCCAATGGCTATTGAAACACCTCGAATGCGCTCAGAAACCGGACTGAGTGCGTCTCCAGCGGATAGCACCTCTAGTGAATTCTTCGTGGAAGAAGTTTCTGGTGGACTCCGTAGGGCAAGGTCAACATCGATGTCTTCTGTTGTCATACCTGACGGAATTGATATGAAGACATCAGTGCCAAGTCCACGATACGAACGTAACGAAGAAGGTCTCTTAAGTACATCGCCGTCAGCGCGCGACCTTAAATCGTCTGCATTGTCTGCCATTCGCAACCGAGAGGACCACCATTTGGTAGATCCCAGCTTCATCTTGGCACAGTTTGTAGCCTACCCGAACCTAGCGGCGCGAGAAAATCTGTATCTCCTACCAAATGATGAAAGCACAAGACGTGCCCTATCTGTGCTGGATCGAACGCCCGTCGTTGATTTACATAAGATTGGTGTCGTATATGTTGGGCCGGGGCAACAAACTGAGGCGGAGATACTGGCCAATGGCCACGGATCACGCGCATACGGCTTGTTCCTTCAGTCTCTTGGCCGATTAGTTCGGCTGAAGGGATGTCGAGACGTCTATACTGGAGGGTTAGATACTTCTGAGGATCTGGACGGTCGACACGCAATATATGCGCACGACGACCTTTCTCAAATTATCTTCCACTGCACGACGCTCATGCCAACATCGCCGTACGACCCATTATGTACGTCTAAGAAGCGACACATCGGCAACGATTTCGTGACAATCGTGTGGAACGAAAGCGGAAAAGAATACGCCTTCGACACGATTCCCGCGCAGTTTAATTTTGTAAATATCATTATTGAGCCTGCTGGCAGGCACAAAGAAGACGGAATTACTACACCGAGCAACATGCATGGTGGGCAAGGGCACCATATTTCTGATCGATGTAAAACATATCAAAGGGAATTCTTTAAAGTAGTTGCCAAGCTACGACCAGATATGCCGGAGATTGGTCCCCTGTCGGAACCGAAACTCGTCACTGGGGCGTCTTTGGCACCGTTTGTCCGTCAGTCAGCTGTACACACCAACATATTTTCACAGATCTTTCTGCAAAGCGGAAACGCAAATCACCACACATCAAATGCTCGAGAAAGACTTCGCCAAATCAAGAGGATCAAAGAACGGGCAGAGGGGAGTGCCTCGGCTGCGCCTGCTGCTGGCGGGGCTGACGGGGGAGAAAAAGGAGGAGGTTCCGGTGGGGATTTTAATGTTGGAGGAAGGAACGTGACAACCGGAGGTTGGGAGAGCCTGCTAGATTTCACACGGTTTATATAGCAGTTTCTGTGACTAAAGTTAGCTAGGTAGTCTTAAATGGTTGTATAGGTGTAAATTTGTGGCTGCATTCTTGGTTAATATGATGGCATCCTCTCATGCTGACTGAGACACCAGTAGGAGAGCAAAGTGCGCCTCGATGTGCATGAGCGCATCGGGCTTTGCTAGTGCTTAAAAGCACTCTTGAGATAATTTAATAATGATAATCCACGATAGGCTGTATGTACAAATCGTATTTATTCGGGAGATTAACCATCAGTAACTGATTTCATAGTTCCAGTCCAAGATACTCTGCTACGAATACGCGAAAAATCAGCGCAAAGTCGTGTACTGTTTGTGGCTCTATTGCAGCAGCGTTGTCCGTAGCCCTATGCCACACCGCCGGAAATATTTGCGGGATGACATGAACGATGGGTACACCCCTTTGCATAAACGGTTTATGGTCATCTTCGATCTGGTAAGCGGAGTACCCTGATTCGCCCTTCATAAAGTATCCGCCTTCACCAGTTTCATCGATGCGGGCTGTTACCTGTTTCGACAGAAGATTGGAGGTTGATAGTCGGTGTTGAATGACGACAAGGCGGCTCCAGTGAGAGGCTGTGTCCTTGTGAGAGTTCCATATCCGAACGTCGGGGGTACCCAGCAAGTCAAGTAGAATAAAAACGTCAATCTGCTCGAGAATTGTTCTAGCATTGTTTTGGGGATCCGCCCGTGGTTCCATGCCCGATGATTGAGGATTGTTCGTCCCCATTACATACGTGCTTTCCCATTTTGCGGCCAAATGTCGCGAGCCATACAAAGAGTCTGTCTCCGACCAGGATACAAAGGCTTCCTCTCCATCAAAGAAGATGAGTTGTAAAGTAGTTGAAGAAAACAGTTCCCTCTCTAGATAAGGGTTTAGAGTCTTTGCAACATCCACGAGGACGGCACAGGGAACCGCAGAGTCCGTTGCTCCAATAAAATCAAAGTCTGCAAAGTATTTAGAGTCGAAATGTGCAGCCAAGACGAGCTTGCGTGGGGCATTCGGATTCTTTGTCACAATGATGTTGTTGAAAGGTTTGACACCGAACGGGGTGGTATCGGTAAACTTGTCCTGTTCCACATGCCACTTTAATGCCTCAAAGGTCGAGATCAAATGGTTTTGAACCTTGACGTTCCCTTCTGTCCCCGAGACGCGAGGTATAAGGAAAGGGGCAAGGGTCGAGCCTGTTGTTGTGAGATTCTCTGGTGCAGAAAGAGAGGCAAGGGTTGCAACGTCGGTTGGAGAGCAACACAGTGGGTGAAGTTGACGAGCAGATGCGCAGGAAACGTCGAGCACCGATAAGAAGGATAAGGTCAGAAGGACAGTAAGGAGGCAGTTTGAGCGGGTTACAAGGAGGTGGGAATGGACAGAGGGTGATGACAATAGTAGCCCTCTCATCGCAGGCAGATCTCGTTGGCGAGTAGAAACGGCATGTAGCTCCGTTTCGAGCCAAGCACTGGGTTTCAAGTGAAGCGCGTCTTTTCCAAAGTTGAAATTGTGGCGACGGGTTGGAAAAGAAACGCTCATCCATTTTACATTTGCTCTCTTATAATGTCATACCGCAACAGACCACGGGAAGACTATCCAGCTTCGTCAATGTACCCTGAGGAGGAACCTGTCAACCGGTGGGCAGCTGCCGCGCAAGCTGCTGAAAGTGCTTATAATGGTGGCACCTCAACTGGCTACCGCTCTTGGGAGACTGTTGAAGAGGAGCCAGAGGACTACGACAACAGCGACTGGCTTGAGCGCAAGACAAAGAAAGTGCAGAATGATTCTCTGTTGAGCACTCGACGAGCTTTAGAGCGTCTGAATGAGACCGATTCCTTGGCTCAACAGAACATGGAGAAACTTGCTCAACAGTCTGGTGTGTAGCTATTTGCAGAGGAGCCTCGTCATTCATACTCTTTTCTAAGTGATGTTGTGTCGCATGATTTTATAGAGCAACTGTCCAAAATGGACGGCCGCCTCGAAAGCGCTCATAGCCATGTTAAGGTATCCGACGCCAAAGCTGACCACCTCAAGTCGCTGAATCGCTTCTTCATGCTTCCATCCTTTGGGTCCAAGAAGGCAAAGAAGAAGGAAGCAGCGGCCAAGCGTGAGGCCGAGGAACGTGCAGCTCGAGAGGACGAGCGGCGACTGGAAGAAAAGGAGCGAGCAACTCGAGTGGAAAGAATGCAACAAGTTCAAGGGGCACAATACACTTCTGTAGGACGAATGTATACTACTCCGGATGGCATTGAAAGAGATGATACAGAAGAGGAGATTGACAGGAATTTGGATCAAATATCGTCAGGACTTTCGAAATTGAAGATGATGGGACAGATCATGAACTCAGAGTTGGATGCACAAAACGTTCAAGTGAATCGTCTTGCAGATCGGTCTGAGTCGACCAATGAGCGCTTGAAAGTTACAACACACAAAGTGCAAAGAATTATTGGCAAATAGTTTCCCATATATATTGTATTGTAGTTCTGCAGCTGTTTTTATAAATAGAGTTCGTTTTTTTTATTGCCCAGCAGATCACGGCGAGACGTGACGCGGCCTACAAAAAGAATTCAATGTGAAGATCAAAGTGCAACTTTTGAACGCATGGGCCTCCAAACTCCTTCGCAGATCGTCCGTCGGTACTTACCACAACTTGCTCGCCGTGTCCATCCTGACCTCTTTGCGCAGAACCCCACAGCCCAGTCCACCAACCTCACCAGCTTGCAAAACTTAAATGCCCTTGTTTCGCAAGTCTTTCCTGCCAATTCGACAAACAACCAAACACCAACAAAACACTATCCCGACCAAGATCAGGGAAATGACCTTCAGCTTGTGTTCTACTGTCGTACTCTAGGATCCCCTGCCTCAGAGTCACCTCCACTGTTGATAAAACATACGTTGACCGGACGAAAAATAGATTCCACCACCACATGTATTTCACCCGTCCTCCTTAGGACACTCTCCCCGACCGCCAAGTCCAACATTTCAGCACCTCTCCTAGCTGCATCGTTTCTGGCATTATGTCAGAAGGCTGGAATTCAGGTCTCGTCGGAAGATTTAGACCTTTTGCGAGGTTGCGTGGAGACAGCATTAGGGGGGAAAATGAGAGGGAGCATAAAGCGTGCAACCAAGAATGCTGAAGATACGAATCGCACAGAACTGAGACAAGAGTTTTCACAAGCGGTTAGAGAGGGCATTGGAGGTGTGGACACCACTCGTGACAAAATGAAGCATCGGTCGGCTCCGTCCAAATCCCCACCTATGCCACGCTTTATCTTCTATCACTCTTCCCTGTCTTCCGACGAACGTGCAACCGCCGGTTCCGCCCTCATGTCACTACCGTCAGCCACGCTGGCTGGCATTCGAGACATACCGGTTCTAATTGCAAGACGATATGCGGTTCATAAGGACGGGGTGTTGATTATACCTTGGGACTTCAGCGTCGAGACTTTGGACGCATTCTTGGAAGTCGAAGGCGCTGAAGTGAGGAGAAAGTTCTCAAGGAGGGCAGCATGAAGAAAGAAGGATGGATCTGTGTTGGACCATGGAAAGCTTGTAAAAAGTCCTTAGAGCAAAAGTCATATGTATAGAGTTCGTAGTCGGGATCCATGCATTTTGTATATATTAAATTATCTAATTCCAATGGCAGCATGCGACAGGTCTTTTTCTTGCTGCAGAGTATCCGTAGCAATTCCACCGCGTCAGCCCTCAGATTCAATCCTCTCCAATGTGAGGCTCCAGAGCTCTAATTCTTTTGTCCTCTCATATTGCAATATGTGAGGAATCCTATCAATGTCCATCATTTTCGCAACAATTCTCTCCGGGACATTTGCTTCTCCGCGATCAGCGTTGGAAGCTTTCAACGTCTCCAGGAAGTAATCGCGCGCGGGAGCCGTGACCTCCTGTTCATCGAGCGAAAACTGGACACGCTTTTCAAGGGCGAGATAGAGAATGCGAGGTTGATTGTTGGTTGTCGGAGAGAGAAGTGTCCACAATCGTTGAACAAGAGCAAACGTGACTGTGTCTTCGTAAATTATGTCGGCAGCCAATAGAATTGTGCAATTTGCCATAAAGTCTTGAACATCAGCACTCGTCCAACAATATGGTCCAGAGTCTACGGCATTCAAAATTGGCGCTCGGTCAATATCGTTCGAGGTATCAAACTCCTTGAACAAAGGACATTGATTATCCAATAAATCCAATTGCTTCACTTTCACCCTATCCTTGACATCATTCAGCTCCAGGTTCCTACAGCAAAGGTCCAAAACACCCAAGCTGTCCAAATCCGTGGCATAGACTCTTCCACACGCTCTCCCGGCTACGGCGGCAACCAACCCAGTCCCACATCCAAGTTCCAAAACAATAGTTTCCGGAGTAAAAATATTGTCGGACTGAGACAAGATATAGTCACACAATAGGAGAGCGCCAGACCATACTTGAAGGCCAACGCGCGAGAGTGGGGTCGCCATCTCGTGCTCTATAATGAGAGGCGATGTGCCAGACATGCGAGATTCCGGCTTCAGCCTAAATACGGTCCGTCGCCGGTTTTGGCCGTCGTTTTGCGCGGGACCATTCAAGGGGTTGATGTGAACTTCAGAGAGGACAAGGTCAACGAGTTCGTCGTCTGCCGGAGGATCAACGGTATTTACTCCATCGCATGGAATACCCGTGCCCCCCTGTTTTTCGTCCTGCAAACTCGATAAACGCCGCTGTCGCTTGCCCTGCAGCTTATCCTCTCGGTCAGTACCAGGATCTGACACGTTTTCAAAAACATGATTCTGTTCATGTGCATGCGATCGTTTCATGGCGGTTTCTTCAGAAAGGCTTGTGCGGGTCCATTACGTGAGGATGTCTATAAAAGGCAAATTACGACACGCCCAGATTGAATCAAATGACACTTCACACGCAACATGAGTCCATTGCCTTTTATGGTTATATTAGTTACACATGTGGATGCGCACTCTCGCCCCCGTCTTCTTTGCCTCGAGTTGAGCAAAACCCCCCCCTCCTTCCCGTCGCAGGCCCTCGTCGTCGTTGTCGTTGTTGTCGTCGTCGTGAGTGTTGGTTGCTGTCGACCTTGCACGCAGACAGACAGTGCGCCTTTGGTACTCTACGTAGGAGCAACAAGGAACAAATTGTACGCTGGATCCCTTTCCCGCGGGGCCTCGGTTCTCTGTCTCAAATTCTTGAACAATAGCAAAAAGCCCAACCGAACCACATCTCGCACACCTCTTCCGCTTTTGCACGACTGGTAACCATTCACAATGGCCAGCGGCGGTCCTCCGCATGATATTATGCACAGAAGAAATGTCTCTACCGGGTCTAGTGTGTTGAAGCCGACCATTGCACAGGTCGCGGCAGCTGCTGCAGCGCGATCTGCTGGGAAAAAGCCCGAGTCGCCACAACAGCAAACACAGAGGTCTGGTCAAACGGCATGGGGACGTTCAGTGGAAGGTATATTCTGTTGGTTTGAGGCATGTGGTAATCATTCCTGTGCAATGTCTCATGGCCATGCTCTCTCACTTTTCCGATAGACACAGCGCCTCCTTCCTCTTCAGAAATTTTACGTGCCCGAAAGCACTCTCTTCCGGCTACTTCAGCGGCCCTGGCTATCGCAGCTGCCAATATGTCTCCGGAAGACACGTGGAAGATTGTCGGCAGTCCTCCCCGCCGCTTTTCACTCTCTGTGCCTCCTACGCCCGACAGATTCCCTCCCGAGCACAATGGCGTTTCTGTTCAGCATTTGGAGCGGGAAGAGACGGACGAATTGATTTTATCACGCCAGCGGGCCATTCGCACGAGAGCTGCCAGTACACCAAATCCCCTCATGGCGGCAGAACCGAGTACTCCTGATTATCCTCCTGGATTGGGTCCAAAGGACAATGACACAAGTGCAAATACTCCCAACTCTGCTGCCTGGAGCGGACCGAGCGTATCCTGGGCCGGCTCGTCATCGTCAATCTGGCAGGATGGCGCCGCAACGACTGGTCAACCTTCAGTATCAGTTCCAGCTGAAAAGGCATCTGGCTACTTACCACCGGACATTGCAGTGACAACTGCCCCGTTCCCTTCGCGTCAATTCCGTAGCTTCTCGTTCTCACTTGGTTCTATGCGTGGACTTGATGGATACGAGGAAGAGGAAAAGTTTGACAGAGACCGAGTAACAACAATGCCACTCCGTGGAGGCGATGACAATGAGGATGATGACTACGATGCCAATTTAACACTTCCGAAAGTGCGATCGCGATCAAAGTCGTCGTCCGAAATCTACGGTCTCTTGGCCGGCCAGGAACCCAACTACAGTTACCCTGTGGACAATGCAACGAGTCCGGTATCTCCCACAGTAGACTATGGTGACCTAAATTCAATTTGGGCCGCTACACAGGGCACCTCTGCTCGCGATGCTGGCTTGCTCAAACGCCGGGGATCAACGCAGTCGGGCATTCACTGGGAATCACTTCGTCCCGGGCAGGCAGATCCTGACGAAATTCCTTCAGCACCATCTCCCGATCGTTTGGAACGATACCGGCAACAGCGACGGTTTTCTCATGCGCCAGGCTTATATAATGACTACGCCCAACAAATGATGACCAGGTTTGTCATCGTGCATTTGTATGCCGTCGTGGCTCTGTCTAAATGCATTTGCTTGCCAGACCGACTGGGGGAGAACCTGATGTCTCGGCTTATGATTTGGCCCGTCGACGACATTCTTTGGCTGGTCCACTGTACAGCACATCGGCTTCAAAGTTTTTATCAGAAGGTCTCGAAGGACTTAGCCTAGATGATCACTCTGATACTCCATTCTTGGATGAGATTGATGATTACTTTGAGAACACTAAGCGGAGAACAAGGGCATGGGTGGAAGCGGGCAAGAACTTGCAGATGCAGTCGTACACTCATCAATGGCCTCTGTTCGTGGTCGAATTCAAAGCCGGTCGGACCGATTTCTTCTTCGTTGCTGAACCTTCAGCGCTTCCGGTCAAGAAGGGAGATTTGGTCATTGTGGAAGCGGACCGCGGGAAAGATCTTGGGAAAGTTATTGAAGACAGTATCCAAAACATTCAGCAGCTGCAAATCTACCAAGCCCAGCACGCAGAATCAATCATTGACGCTCACAGCATGAACAAAGAAGTCCATCCGAAACGAATCTTTCGAACGGCACAACCCGCCGAGGTTACTATGCTCGTCTCTAAGAGCCAAGACGAAGCCAAAGCTATGGCGGTTTGCCAGACAAAAATACGCCAGAAGAAACTTCCAATGGAGATTGTCGACGCAGAATACCAATGGTGAGGGTCAGAGAAGGATATGATGATGTCTTAAGCATGTAATTACTCAATCATCGAATATCTGCTTTCAGGGACCGGCGGAAGCTCACCTTTTATTTTGTCGCCGATCGTCGTATCGATTTCCGGGAACTTGTCAGAGAGCTTTTCAAAATATACAAGACTCGTATTTGGATGTGAGTTTGCCTGATAATATGGGTCCCAGTCCGACCGTACTTTTAACCAGCAATAAACCATAGGTGTGCCGTCAACCCCATGAAGCCCATCCTTAAAAAACAGTGAAGCGGTTTTAGAGGTCCCAGAATGTGGGTTGCGGCGATATCACCGGTTACACACTGGCTTCGTCGATCTGTACCATAATTGTGTGAACGATTGTCTTGACTTCCCCGTCTGCAATGCTCAGACGTAGAATTGCATATAGGCTGATGGATTAGTTTGCTAGAAAGAAGAGTGGACGTGCGCGTCCAATGAAACAAAGGTAGAGGAGCGCGAGGAGCAATGCATGCTTTTTGTGATAGGAATTGTACAGTTGGAGCTAGAAGTATAGGGCATTATCTCGTTGTTTCTCCCTTTGTTGTGTATAGTTGCTAGAGCATTTGTCTTTTCGTTCCTTGATTTGCTGTGTGTGCTGGGTTTCTTGTTTGCATTGTTAGGATGGTTCTTGTTCTTTTCTTTCCATTTGTCGCGTAAAATACAGTAGAAATGCTCAGTAGACTTCCATTATTTCCGGCCAAAAAAAAAGAGACATTGAGAATGGTGAATCACCACAATGCATGTCCACTTGCGTCTTCCATATTGAGAGGAAACATTGGAGGATGTGCCGTACGAATTGCGGCCCGAAGTTTGGCAGATCTGTACCGCTGTGTAAGAGGATATTTTGCATTAAGCGCGAGAAACAGCGTACCTTGCTCTGGGATTTGATTGGACTTCTTCCCTTGTCGGCTTGACTAAATGAAGTTGTAAAATTTTCAATCTAACATCAAATCGAGGTAACGGCTAGTACTCACCAGCTCGTTTTGTGACCACATGGAAACTAGGCAAAAATGGGCCGTTCTCTGAATCTTCGTGCTCCCACATATCACCCGGCCCACCACCCTTTTTACGCTTTCTCTCCCTCTTTGCTCTAACCCTTGCTTTCTCATCGTCTCGTCCCATCCTAAGCCCCGGTCGATTTAACATATCCATATCCAAGTCATCCAATTCCCCTGCATCCACCGTTGTGGACTGGTGAGGAACCCCGACGGATTGTGGCGCAGAGCATTTCCTCAAAAACTGCTTCAAAATCCGATCTTCTAATGAATGGAAAGTGATGCAGACTAAGGGGCTGGTCGGCTTTAGCAAGAGTTCGGCGGACTTTAGGCCGAGCCGGAGTTGATTGAGTTCGTCGTTAATGTAAACTCGAAGCCTGGAGAGCATCTGTGTTACCAGCTTGCTTGAGTCACATTTTCCACATAACTGGCATACCCTTGAAATCTAAAAAGACAAACTTAACAACGCTATACGATTGCTATAGGCCAATTTACCAAACAAACACTTACGTTCGTACAGCAGGGTGCTTGAAACCATCTGCCCCGGCACCCCATCGCCCACCTACGGCGGATGAGACGATATCAGCCAACTGCTTCGTTGTCTTGATGGGAGCTTTGCCCCGTGCTGTTGCGATTGCGCGTGCGATACGCCTTGACTGACGCTCTTCGCCGTACTATTATGAGCTTTGACCGTTAGAATGGCACAAGAGATAGGGTAGCAAGAAATACAGACCTGATAAATGATGTCGGCAATATGATGCTCGGCAAAATCTGGTGAGTTATAACCGTGTTAGAGACCTTTCAACGGCTAAAGTTGTGCAGATTAACGACATAAAACTACTAACTATTCACAATGACTTCGGCTGTAACTGTTTTTTGCAAATCCCGCGTGGAATTATCAGAGTCGCCCCGGGAAGCCATTCGCATATCTACCCGAAAGTACATTTGCGGTCAACGACAACTGCATCAATGTTTAGTGGTTTTCTTCTCAAAGCCCTACCCAAAGGTCCGTCCTTCTTGAAGGAAAATCCTCGCCCAGCCTCGTCCAACTGATTTGAGGAAACTCCGATATCAAATAGTATGCCATCGAGACAAGGACCACTGTGAATTAAGATACGAAAACTGAACTTGACTTAAAAGTTGGATTAGAGGAGAGATTCTTACTGTAGATTCACATTGTGTTGGAGAAGGGAAACTAGATCGCCAAACTATGTTTGAGAATGCATATTCAGATTTAATCCGCTCGTGAAATACGGTCGTTGCTTTACCTTTCCCTGTATTGGGATGATCCGATCTCTACTTCGACCGTCAGCCATATCAGAATTACAGAGCCTATAAAGTTCATACGTACCTGTAAGCGGCACTATTCGCAAGATCGACTGCTCGCTCATATGCAAGGGGATCTTGATCAATGGCAACCACCTTACAATCCAGCCTATCTAGCTTTCGAAACACATGCACAAGTAGCGGCATTGTGGAGGTCATTAAAAAATCTCATTGGGTTAACAGGCCTACGACCACCCACCTAGCAACTTTTTCGTATACCCTCCGTCCCCAAACGTCGCATCACAAAAGAGTCTCGTGCCTTCCTTGTTCTCTGAAGCGGAGCGGATTTGGTGCAGGGCCTCTTCCAAAAGAACTGGGACATGACGCTGGGTGTGAACGTATGCCTTGCATCTGCTGAAAAGATGCTTTGGGCACAGTCTCTGGAGTGGACGGGAAAACATCGCCTCGGTGGAAGGCAGGTCAAAATCCAACTCGAACGCGCTTCTGTTGACGTGACTCACCATGACGCATTACCAGATATCACGGGATACTCACGTGAGCACCTTCTTGGGCTTTCAAACTGACAGCCGAGCTGCTCGGATTTCTTCCCTCTTCAGATCGCGGCTACGGCACATCGAAATGGTAAGTAGGACGATTATTGATAGTTGGCCGAGAGGAGTCTTGAAGCAGAACCGCACGGAAGGGATGGATGGAGGGGCAGATGGATGGATGGACGAATGGAGCGATGGATGGATGGATATGCAATGGATAGTCTGTTGCTTGTCGACCATGGCGATTCGTCCAGAGACATCTCTGAAGGTGCCCCTCCACCTTGTTCAGGTTCCCGCGTATGAGACTCTGGCCTCTCGTTGATGTCGATGCATACGCGGCAACCGTAGGGACTACGTATCCCTAGTGCGCCCGCAAAGTGCAGATACATAACGAACTAGAGATCTCATGCTTCTGTTCTCTTTGAATACGCATTATTTACAAGAAAGTGTCAAAGTCTAAATAAGATCAATATCCCTGGTGTCCATATCTTCCGGCACATCTGTCGCATCCCGCTGTTTGGGTGCTTTGGCCGTTGTCAAGAATGGCAGTATATGATGGTTGAAATAATCCGCCAGTGCGTTCGCGAGGGTGCAGATTCCGCTGTGCGGTTGATTATACGTGAAGCAATTCGAGATAATGTTTCGGAAATCTTTGATGAAGCCGTCCAAATTATACTCGCCCGCTTGCACCTTCGTGCGCATTGTAAGAAGGTCCATCGGCTCCCGTATAAGTTCATAATACCCTGGCGCCACCAATGGATTCACAGGCGCTACGAAGGGGGCTGAAGACTTGTGATTGATCAGCATTACTAGCGCTTCCTTCATTGAAAGAGTCGTAGTCTCAGGGACTTCTGAGACAATATCCTACAAGGGTACAACTTTAGTACAGTTCCAGTATGCAAGACGATATGAAAGGTACTCCCTCATGCAATGTCATCTCACTCGCGTCCATATTGGTATCACGGGAACCCCATATGTAGATATCATGGTTTGCTTAGTGCGCAACCAGTCACTTTGTAATGAAGGCCAGATAACCCATTGATGCACCAGTTAGCTCATAGAGCGTATGCAAGGATGTACCTCCTAAGGCTGATTGCACGCAAATGATAACTACGGGCGTGATACCGGACAGGAGAAGACACTCGCGAAGTTTCCTAGAACTATAACAATCAGAGTACGCAGTAAACAAAAACAATTACGCACCTTTGCCACAGTTTTCCTCTTCTTTCTAGCCGGAGGATTTGCACAATCGTCCATCTCCTCTGCTCCGTTCTCCACAACAACCCGTCTTCGCACCCTGATGGGCCTTTCACAGGCTTCGGCCTCGCTATCTACAGTATTGTTGGAGCCGAGGTCGCCGACTTTTAGATGGGTTTTGGTTATGCGGTTGGGGTTTTCAACATTCCAGGAAGAGGAAGCAGCTTCATCGTCGTCATCGTATTCTTCACTGCTATACGCTACTCGGCGGGGTGTTGTCGGAGAAGGTTCCTCCTCATCATTGCTATATTCCACCCGGCGGCGTGGTTTCGGGTTTTCAACTGATTTTCCCACAATGCTGCCTCCCAGACCATTCATCACCTCCTTAACATCCTTCCGTTCCCACACGGCGTTCAGCAGAAGGTAGATCAGTTCTAGGGCTTTACAATCATCATCCGGCCGGTGGAATTCGAGATTATAGCCGGGGAACAAAATGGGGGAAATATAATCCAGCCGAAGAGAAGGAAAATAACCGTCTAGCACATGGGTAATCGACGCGGCGGCATTCACGCTCATGCCCCTGGGTTTCGGTCGCCAAATTGCTTGTGCAGACCAAAATGGGTTAAAGAACGACCAGTGCGTGGGAATCTCGCCATATTTGTCAGTGTATATACGTGTCAAAATGTTCTTATCAACGTCGTTCGTAGACCACGAAACAAATACACAAGTGTCGTGCAGAAACTGCTTATGCCACAGGGTAGCTAAGTCCGATTCAGAAAATCTCGTTCCATGGACGTTGATGTACTGAGACTGAGCCGGCTTATGGAGTATTTTCCAGCCCACATGATACGGCCTGACATCTTCGTGTTTCATTCTCGCCTTCATAAATGCCCACTCGAAGTCAAAGAAGATGATCTTCTTATTATCAGTTGGGGGCACAAATGTTACTGTCCGCATGCGTCTTTGGACTTCGGTCGGATAATGTAGGAGATCCAGATAGGTGTAAGGAGGAGTAAATTTAGGCACCCACACCGGCCGAGAATCTGCAGACTGACTCTTCAAGTTCGGACGCCGACCATTCCAACTGGGCAAGCATGCCTTACAGTAATGATAATTCCCGTACAGGAGCAGATCCAACACAGCAGGACAACGAAGGCATCTAACGGCATCCTGCGACTCTTTGTTTCGGCGCTCACGTGCATCTCTTCTTTGAATATGGCACTCTTTGCAGTAATAAAGTTTTCCGCCCTTAGTCAACGCTCCGACCTGGTCGGGCTCGTAACCACAATTTCCGCAAACTTTCCCTTCTTGAGCCAATAAGGAAAATTCCTTCGCTTCCTTGTCACAACCCTCACATCTATGATGTTTGCCGACCTTTATCAGAGGCCCCACAACCTTCGTGGACTTGGAACACCGATAACAGATCTTCCCCTCTTGGGAGAGTCGCGAATGCTTGGCATATCCCTCTTTGGTAGCTGGGAGTCGTGCTACGAATGAAGGACTATGAGACCACGATCATAAAAGTCAAACAACAAAAGGATGAAGGATCGATAAAGAAGCATATATGTACTTAACCGTCGTAGTTACGTATTCATCTCGCGCTCGTGATTGTGACCTTTGCAATGTGCAGTTCAACTGGCGGCGTCTGGCAGATGAGCTTGCAACCAAATTGCATATCATGCCGCGCTTCCGAAAATTCGGGGGCAATCAATGAAAGGAGGCTCAACAGCACGCTCATCCTAACCGCCAGTATGGTCGAGGGACTGCAGATTCGTCACCGAGCAGTGAAATGTAACTATATGGGGGTAGCAAGCTTGCCGTGGGGTGGTTCTGTGACTGAAATATTTACCAGCAGGGCGTTTGCTTGGCTTTGTCTTGGGCATTGTGAAGCAATGAACGGCGATATTAAGTGCTGCGAGGATGGATGTTGGCACTTGGGTGTGTGGGAAACGGTGCACGCAGTTGGTTTCCTTGTCTGAACCTGTGTGAAGCTGGTGAGCTGTGGTGTTTCGTTAAACCTTGCAGGGCTTTTTACTTTACACTCTAAGATGCATGAGGAGCTGTGGAGCAAATGGTGAGAGTGGCTGGTTAATCAATATGGACTCTTATGGAAGATCACGTGGCAATTCCCGAAGAAAAAAGACCATATAAACAGACCTCTTTCTGCCTTCTGCCTTCTTCCCTCTTCACTCTTGCCCTTCAATCTGCGTACGGCTCGGCTCTCTAACAACATGAGCCACAGGAAGGCAAGTTTTCCAATGGTATTTAAATAAAGAGAATGCAACTAATTATTGTAATATGTATGGGCTTCGCATAGTTCGAACACCCCCGTACGGGTTCCCTTGGTTTCCTGCCGCGTAAGCGTGCCAGGCGTCACCGGGGAAAGGTGAAGTCCTTCCCCAAGGATGATCCCTCGAAGCCCGTCCACCTTACGGCCTTCCTCGGTTACAAGGCGGGTATGACCCACATTGTTCGTGACTTGGACCGTCCTGGATCAAGTAAGCTGTTTGAAGCAAGCTTCATATAATGGAGGTCATGTTGGTAACAAAAAAACTCTTAACAGAGATGCACAAGAAGGAGGTCGTCGAGGCTGTGTCCATCATCGAGACACCTCCCATGGTCATCGTTGGTGTGGTTGGTTACGTTGAGACTCCCCGCGGTCTCCGCTCCTTGGCTACCGTGTGGGCTGAGCACCTGAGTGATGAGGTGAAGCGTCGCTTCTACAAGAACTGGTACCGCTCCAAGAAGAAGGCTTTCACCAAGTACGCCAAGAAGTACGCCGACGGAGGCAAGCCCATTGCCCAGCAGCTTGAGCGTATTAAGAAGTACTGCCAGGTTGTGCGTGTCATTGCCCACACCCAGATTCGCAAGGTTAAGATCGGTCAGAAGAAGGCCCACGTCATGGAGATCCAGCTCAACGGTGGCTCCGTCGCCGACAAGGTCAACTGGGCCAAGGAGCACTTCGAAAAGACTGTCGATGTCAGCTCTATCTTCGAACAGGATGAGATGATCGATATTATCGGTGTTACAAAGGGTCACGGTTTCGAGGGTGTCACTCACCGTTGGGGTACTAAGAAGCTTCCCCGTAAGACTCACAAGGGTCTCCGTAAGGTCGCTTGTATTGGTGCATGGCACCCGTCCCGAGTCATGTACTCGGTTCCTCGTGCTGGTCAGGACGGTTACCACCACCGTACTGAAATGAACAAGAAGATCTACCGTGTCGGCAAGGCTGGTGACAAGAACAGCGGTGCCACCGAGTACGACCTTACCCAAAAGACGATCACCCCTCTTGGTGGTTTCCCCCACTACGGTATCGTCAACGAGGACTGGATCATGGTTAAGGGATCCACCCCTGGTGTTAAGAAGAGGGTTCTTACTCTTCGCAAGTCTCTCCTGGTCCACACCAAGCGTTCGGCTTTGGAGAAGGTGCAGCTCAAGTTCGTCGACACCTCTTCCAAGTTCGGACACGGTCGTTTCCAGACTGCCAGCGAGAAGGCTTCCTTCTTCGGTACCCGCAAGAAGGACATCCAGGCTTAGGAAGTTTTCATTTGTGTTCATTTACTTATGCGGTGACGGTTAGCCGGTTCCTTTGACCTAATAATAAAAGTGCCTGGCTTGGTGTACATATTTGTTCCTTATTCTCAGCGTGCTGTTTATATTGGCAAGCAATTTTGTCTAACCGTCGGTGAAACCCTTGTGCATTTGCTTAGGCAGCTATACTGTACAAATGTGGGCTGCTCCAAGATGTCGCTCTTCAGAAAGTTTATGATCGTATGCGCATTCGAAAACGAATTGTTTCTATGGTTGCATCGAAGCGGGTTCAACAGGAACCGAATGATCAGACCAATTTAGCTCTTGGCACACAAATCCAGACTTGGTTCAAATCGAGGTATGGTTGGATGATGGGCAAATTCATTCGAAGCCGCACTAAGCCGGATTTGAGCCAATTGTGCTGTGCCACACTTGCAGTGTGGGGCAATTCGACACTCGTCGCATCTACTGGTGTTCCATGCAATACATTCATCTTTCATCACATTTGGTTCAATTCTTACTGCCAATATGAGAGTTACCCGTCTATTCATTAATACAGCTCTGGAATTCCACCCCTACCGCCGCCCTGCCATCCCGACTGTTCCTATATGGCGCCCCTTCTGTCGTCTATTGCACACAACGCACATTGCAAGGGCGGAACATGGGAGCAACAGCAGCTCGCCGGACATGACTGCCGTACTACAAGAATTATCAAAGAACCCAAAAGCCATGGCGATTTTCCAAGCCATCCAGCGTGACCCTCGGTTACTGAATGAGGTTCAGTCTTTGGGGTTACTCCTACATAGCAAAGGATTCATTGACCCATCAAATCCTGTCAAACAGCCGGGTTAGTTTACCTTTCCACCAGTCCACCTAGATTTGAGGATAATTTTCTGTACTTGTACTTTAAAACTTGTTGATTCAATCTAACCTCGGACTGACTTGATCTCTACGTCCAGGTCCTCTCATTATGATGCGGATGTTTGCTGATGGCTCGATTCGGTCCAAAATGCTGAATGTTGCCAAACTTCTGACAGAAGCGGGCGCATTGGATGCCAATGGAAAGCCCGTGGATATGGCTAATGTAATGCAAATCATGATGGGTGGTAGTCCTCCGCCACCCGAAGCAGTTAAACGTTTAGACGGGGAAGGCAGTGAAAAGGGCACACGAGAGGATGAAGGATTAGGTGGAAAGATTAAGGGCTTTTTTAAAAAGTAATACACTTTCATAAACATGCACACCTAAGTCGGAGAATTATTCCGGTATATCCGTACTCGAATTTGGCACAGGGTCACATCCTATTGAAAATCCTCCGATAAGTCGGCTGGGATTAATATGCGCATCTGAGGTCTGCAATTCTTTTCTGGAGGTGAAAGCAAACAAAGGCTGTCATACCTTCCTTGGGCCTATATATAACAATTAACACTCGGGCAACTATATGATGGCCACCACTCTCCAAGCACCCGCTCTTCACACTCGCTCCACTATCGCACTCTCCTTAAAGGACCACTCATCCCTCCCCTCTCTTCCGAGTGCCGAAACCGACATTATATCTCACTGGCGTTCAATTGAATGTAACCCACGACACAAAGACTGTATTTTATCTGCGCCCTCTCAATTGGATGCAAACGATGTCACCGCTACACCATACATCATCTGCTCCAGAGGAGCTTCACGGAATCCCAAACACTTCTATTGTACAGCTTATGCGACGACGCATAATACCAAATACTTCAAAAAAGCTGGTGGAGATGTTCGCACGACACGTACGCCCAGCCATCTGCAGAAACCGAGGACCGGATATTCGATAAACGTTATACCATATGTGGAATACGATAGATCGGTGGATGAGGGACCTGAGTTCAAGTAAGAACATCTCCGTCAAAGCAAAACTTATTTTATATTGCCCGTAACATTCTTTGCATAATAGTATAAAGGAACCCTTTGGAACATCTCACAAGAATCACTATAAGGCACCCACCACCGTTTCCCCGCAAAGCGGTGAGATCTCCACGCTGATCGATTCTGGTTTCACTCGAATGCCACCAAAATATAACGTTACCACTGACGGGACGGTAAGGATAAAGTAATTTTCGAAAGACCGGCTGCCCATGCCTCATCCCAACTTTTTGGCAATTAGGCGCGGGGAAATATGACAAGTACCATGAAATCTAGTTATGACTCCAGTCGACTCTCCTACAAGGGTCCTCAATTCGATAAAGACAAAGTTACACCTTCTGGCAGTGCCTACATTAGCAACAGCGGTCAGATTCAGGAGCTCGGTACCGACAATGATGTTGGAAGGTTTGAGGTGCGTCCAATCTAATTCCATCAGCGCTTTCGACCTCTAAAAGTCTATTCGCTCTACCCAGCGCTCCAATCGTAATCCCCCAACCGAGGGGGATTGGCGAAATTATAATACAAGTCATATGGTCGAAGACGGATACACTCGATCACATCACGCTAATATCCTAGGTCGCGACGATCCTGCTGATATACTTTCCGCAAAAGATCAAGAAAGAATTAGGAAGACTGATCCAACACGATGGATGCAGGTGCAGGACCCTAATGCTTGGATGAGCACGTCCAGGTAAGATATCCAAGACGATCCATGTTCCATATATATTAGCCAAGTTGGTGTTTACTTGCTGAAAAACTATAGAATGGTACACCGTCCCTTTCACCCCCTCTACGAGACAATGACGGCCCTCAAGTCGCCCGGCACAAAAGTCGGCAACAAAGAACCGCAGGGAAGTGTCCGAAACAACCCGGTATACCTAAATGGCGTCGAAATCGACCCGAGACAGCGATTTTCGACCGAAACGGGTGACAGGTAACCAAGTTTGCAAGTGTTTTGGATCTATCTGAAGGTTAATAGACTCACATTTTTGTATGCAAGATACACGTATTCGATGCCGAGATTCACACCTGGCACCTTCCCAAAGATTGACGGGGTGGCGAAATCTACCGGTTTCACTCGAGGCAATAAGTTTGAATACACATTCGACGTGCCAAACGATGCAGAATCAGTATGTTGTTAGGTTCACCATTTATGCTTCCAGGAGAAAACAGCTGATATCCTCTTTCCGTTCATTTAGCAGGCTCAACTGCACCCAATGCAGGCATGTGCTCGTCGACAAGCTGACCGAGGCACATTCTCTGTAAAGCCAACGCAAGTCAAATTTGGAGAAGCAGCAGGCAATGTCTGTGATTGCGGCTGTGGCTGTTGAGAAGTGCAATCCATTGGCGAATAAGATCCTTTTTCGGCCCTGTTGTAAGGAATTGGCCAAGTTGTCCAGTGTTCACTCAAGAAAATGGTTGTTAGAGTTGCACCCTGAAGGTTTGCTTAGAAGGAACATCTGCAAATTCTTTCCGACATGAAACATCTATTCACATTTCGATCTCAATTGAGGGTTGGGTGATAATGACCCAATGTCCAGCTGTCCAGCTGTCAAATAATAATAAATAATTACAGAATGAAAAGTTTGCCCACAGATAACCAGTACATGTCGTTTGCATCCATCTCCCATCATCTAGCTCACGAGAGTTGTAAAGCCCACCCAACGACCTCCCCTAATATCTCAAATCCGTTGCACCTGGCGATGCTCCCAAAAACCACCATTCGTCTCATGAAATCATTTGTCACATATTCCCCCACCATCGTACCTCGACATCTCTCACACTCTTCTTTCATATCCTCTGCTTTGACATAGCGACATCGGGTACATCGAATATTTTGATGCTGCCACGCTTCGAGTCGTTTTTGAGCAATATCCAAAAGTCGCTGCTCAATGGATGCTTTATCGTACTCTGTTTCGCAGCAGGGACATGTCCATGCTCCAACTGCGCCTTCATCTGGAATTCCCTCTTCTTCACCATTATCACCATCATCGTTGACTCTCCGGGGTAAAAGATCCTTGTCGCGGGTCAAATCCAGATCGCGGCAATGATTGCAATATTCACAGATAACCTGCGGAAGCTTGAACGGTTCGCATGGATTCACAAAATTTGTACCTTCGCCAAACTCCTTGACATCAATCAGCTTCAGCAGATTTTGCTTGAGGGTGCGCACCTCTCGCTCATTCCAGGTGTCCAAGGCTAGGACCGCACAGACAAATTTGACAAACTCTAAGGCTGGATTCGTCATCGTCAAATGAGAACCAGGAAGAAGGGGAAAATCGTATGCTCCCGGATTACGCTTAGCCTCAACATGGTGGACAATGTCTGGCACCACTTTCAACAAGTTTCGCTTTACGGTGGTATTAAGCAGCTCCCTTAGAAATTGCGTCAAAGGATGCCGATCGCCGTCGCGGACACTGCCAGCGACCCCGGTCTCCAGCATCTTCTGCTTGAAGTTGAGTACTTCAAAGACATACTCGGCCACTGTTTTCATGAACTTTTGCTGAACCGCTGGCGGAAGATAGTCGCACATATTCCATTCCATGTCAGCCATCAGACTCGGTTGTATTTTCGTGCTACTCTCTTCCGTATCTTGTTTCTTATCATCCAACCCTAGACGTCGACCCTCATGCAATAGCTCCTCTGGGTTTTCGCAAATGATACCTCCGAAATTGTGCGGATCCATCCACATCAGGAAACCCCAATATCTCTCCACCTTCAACTCTAAGGTCTCAAACATTGGCTTCCGCGTAATGGCGTCGGTAATGTACGTCCCATAGACCACCCCGTTAACAAACTCCACTTTTGTAGTTGCAATGACAACTTTGTCAAAAGTAGCGTAGACAACTTTACTTCCCAGGCGCTTGAACTCGGACATCAGTTCCACGAACACGCGGCGCATAAGGCTATGAATAATGGTATGCAAAACTGGGTCGAACATGCGAGACGCAGGAGAGGTGATCCATCTATAAAGATGTTCAAGCATATACGATGCTAGTCGGTTCCTTCTCCGGACGTCATCCGCCCAGCCCATCACCATGGACTTCAAAATGCTGAATGTTAAGGGCGAAAGCTCATCCCCATTCGAACCTGGATCTCGAACAATATTGCTCCCTTCCTCTGTCCCTTTGGTATAATCATCCATCAGGTGCCCAACGGCCTGTACTCCGTTTCCACCCAAAGCGGCTCCACCTCCTTCAATCTCGCCCATCAATCCAGATTGCATAAAGGTATTCATCGTCAAATCCCAAACTGACAGCTCAATGCACACAGTCTCATAGCATCCTGGGATGTTGATTTCTGGATTGATGAGTTCATCCAACTCGAATCGGTGGTCGTCCTGTTCGCATCCGCCTAGATCCGGTACATCAGATGCAGAGTACCATAACACCATATCGGCCCTCTTGAGTCGCCTGGCGAATCCAAGATCCGCAAGGAACGTGGTATAATCTTGCGAGATATTGCAGACCGGCACATCCGCATATCGCGAAAGCGCTATGCGTTCTTTCAAAAAGTCGTTCAGATTCAAAAAATGCGACAGCATCCTTTTGCACACGTATTGCTGCCACCCCAGTGTAGGGAAGTTTGTATCTTTTTTATGTGTCGGTAACGTGATGATGGGGAAGTCGAAGATGACCGAAATGCCGTCCATTTGCAACTGTTTTGCGGTCTTCACAGCCTGCAGAGCAAGGACAGTGGCACCACGGCGTTGTTGCTGATACTCCCGCAATGAGCGATTGATGGCAATTATAGCTTCGACTTCTGTCGCATACAAGGTGGCCGTAATGTCAATATCATCTGCGTATTCGATTGCATCAGATTCCGCCATATTATCCACCTGGGTCTGCCTAAACGGTTGAGAACTAGAATAGCCCCCAGTTTTCGTCTCACTCTTCCTTTCCGCATACATCTTGGATAAGTTTGGTATGGCGTCCCTGTTCCTTGCTTGGTCAACGACAAAAACCCATCCCTTCTTCATGACCGTCGAAAATAGTCCGAAAAACTTTCGGTTACCATTCGAAGTTTGAAACAAGTAAAGATAATGGATCTTGACATCTGCCGGCAAGTATGGCGTATGCGAATCAATGGCCTTGTGAATCACTTCGTCCAGTTCGAAGCCCTGGTCTAATCCACGCCCGCTCAAGATCCTCTGGCGGTCTACATTAGCCACGCAGCCTAGTCTTATCAACGCACGGAATAGAAGGGGGACCTGCATTTCATACACCCCTTCGATTTCCTGGTGATCCGACATAGCCGCAAATAAGGCGGAGTTCTCCCGGTAAAACGGCTCAGCCATCGTCATCTCGTAAAGAAACAAACACGGGTGACATCGCGGCAGTGTTCGCACCCGTCTAACCATTTTTACACCGACCTTTTCAGTATTCTCATCGGGATCAGGTATCCGACTGTTGACGTAAAATATTCGGGGTACACTCAGTTTGATGGAATGAAGGTCGCCCTGGACGAGTGCCCACACTCGAAAATCACCTGGAATATCAGTCTCGGCAATCTCTAAAATCTGCCATGAAGACGCCAAGATATTTCTCGCTTGCTGCCGGAGGAATCCCTGGACACCGCGTGGGTCGGTCTTTGCACCAGTTCCGAACATAGCTATTTCCATTGCTCGCTGTGCCCTTCTCCGTTTCCATCGTCGCTTCTGGAATTGAATCCAGCCAGAGTAGTCTGAGTGCATATCTGGCATATTCTCCGCCGGATCCAGATCCTGCAGTGCCGAGTCGTCATCATCCATTTGAGCTGAGAATTGCTTGTTCCGCTGTTTGCGCTTTCCTAGGATCTTTGAGGTCTTATGTACAACAGGCACGATCCTCCCATCTCTGAGGACAGACGCCTCTTTTCCTCTTGCAATATCTTCCAGATCTTGGACGCCATTCGCATTAGCGTTACCCTCGGCATTCTCTTCGTCGGACTGTACATCGACCGTTTCATTTCCCAACAGATTTTCGCCTTCACGGTTCTCCTTATCACCGATCGCTTTCTTCTGGAACATCTCAGTGATACGGTATTGCTTTGTCTTGTCATCCTTTGCAGCCACCCGCTTAAGCAGCCAGTCCGGATGTCGAACTCTAGGCACAGGGTTTTTCACCCCTTGCATCGCCGCAGGGATTGTTATTAACTTTTGAATGACACTTCCAAATCGCTCCATATAGTACTTCCAATCCAAGATATCGCGGATGTCGAAAGTTTGCAGACCGGGATCCTTTAACCACTTTCGCATGTAATGTTTTCGGACCCCTGGATCCGCCTGGAAAATTACTACCGGAATGGCTCGCTCGCTAACAGGCTGACCGAATGGTTTGGCGGAAATGATAAATTTGCAGTTCAAACCTTTGTCCTTGACCATCTGATCCCCTAAAAACTCGGCCAATCGCTTTGCGGTACTAATCGAGGTGGACTTTTGCGCCCCGTAGTCCTCCAAGCTCTTACTCATACTTCGGTTCTCCGAAATGAGATCGAATAGTTCGTTGTCCCCAACACCGGCCCCTTTGTTGTACAAAACATCCAACCATTGATTGGCAACATTTGCGACAGCAGCATAACATTGTTCGAGCGTTCCTCCTTCCAAAAACACCTTAAAGAGCTGGCTTTGGAAGATTTTGATTAACTTCAGCTCTCCTCGCCGTTTAACTTCAAATCCCTTTAATTCAGCTAATGATCCATCATCATTGAAGACAGCGTAGCGCTTTTTTAACAGCTTGTCCTCCTCGGTACTCGATGGCAAAATCATGGCACGATATGGGCCGTCTACCTCGAAGAAGATACTATTCTCGCTGCGCGTCGTGTATGAATTTTGAGCAGGATCATCGAGCTCCTGATATTGGTGATTTGTGAACTGATCATGCACTAAATGATTTAACATGACACACGGATAGGATATAGGAAATACTTTGCCGTTTTTGAGTTTGAAGGCAAAATTTTCTGGGAAGGTTGCGGGGAAAATACACCAAATACCGTCCGTATCTAGTTCGAGAGGTCTTCCGATTTGCTCAATCCGAGTCCGCGCCAATTGAATAATGGTGGCCCCAGTTAAACACACTATACCAGCCATCTCCATTGAGTACCATCGAGCACCCTTTCGCATCACATATCCGTAGAAGGAATTCAGAATACACCTAACAATTTCCCGTCAGAATGAATGTAATTGTTTCAACACCTTTGAAGGAACTCACTTGTGTGCCAACTGAAGCGAATCGTACACTACAATCAGCTTTTTGGCCTCGTCAACTTTCGTCAAATCGCCCGCAGTCCCAGCATCATCCAACTTCTTCTTCCAGGTCTTGAGCAAGCCTTTATACTCATAACGCCTATCACGGAATGCTCGCACAGTATCCACATAGAAGGAATTTTCCCTCTGGCACACAACACTTTCCTTAGGCACCACTTTTGTCTCGTGGATTTTATTATACACCTTCCGACTGTAGGTCGAGAGGCGCTTTTTGATCTGAGTTTGCTGCTCGTGCAGCCGTAACTCATGGAACGCCCGCGGAGGATCTGTAGGCAGTTTCCCAGGAAACTTTTCTTGCTGCATCTGATTTCGAATCATGTTGTACTCGCTTCGCTTCGCAGGGAAGTATTCTCCTCTCCACGACCATAACATTTTCCGCTGACAGGTACTTCCAGGACCCTGATTGAAGTCACATGCAGCGCAGGTTTCTTCATCAACGATTGCATCGGGTTGCAGACGATTCGTGAGAATGATGTTGGGATACATTGCGGCGACGTCCAAATGGTAAATCGATGGCTTTTCCAGTCGGTTGGGAATCTCGCGGAGATTAGCGAGCGCTTCCACAATTTGTGCTCGCACCTTCGTAAAACCAACGCTGTCAATAACAAACCGGCAAAGGACTGAAAGCCTGCATGCTATACCTCGTCATAATTCGTCACATCTTCAAGCTTCAGATTTCCCTCCACCACAATACTGAACTTGAGAGCCTGATCTATTTCGTCGATAAGCTGCATAATCCAACCACATCTCAATTTGTTTGTTTATGAGACCCCACTAAATGCACCAAAAGTCCATGTACCTGCTGGAAAGCCTCAGGTACCAATCGAAATTTAACCGGCAGATCACTTCGAAAAACACCGGCTTCTAGCGCTTCGACATGTCCTCCCACATATGTTTCACTTTCCAAAAGATGGCCTTCGAAAAACTGGCCTACTTTGTCGACATGCTTATTAGGCATAATTACGTTCGCTTTGTACGCTTGCACCTGCATTCAGCAGAGTTTAGATTTCGCCTTGATGGCTTTTATGTCAACGTACCATTAGCAGCGTTTCACATAGCGTTCCTGAACCTCTACGCAAAACGTCATCTGGGTTCATGGGAATGATATTGCAGAGAGAAAAGATGAAAGGATGGACATATTTCATGTACAAATAATACGTTGCCACCGCATCGGAGACGGAATATTGAGCCAAGACCTGTGGCTGTTCAGCAGCAAATCTGGATAACTGGTAAGAAATAAGAAGCGGGTAAAGGGTAAAAACATAAAATTACCTAGTCATATCTTCCGGGTCCAATTCCATCGGATTGTAACCAAGCTTTGCAGTTGTCACCGCCTACAGAGTGTACGCGCCCAAATTCATCAGGACACAATGCTGGGGAGCGGTATCGTGAAGGCAACTTGCCTTCAGACCTTGGCTACCCTGGGGTAGATAACTATCACGCTTCACCCAGCACAGGGCATCCATGTGAATCGCGTAGTAAGATTTGTACTCATTGCTATTGTCCTTAGAAAATCCTATTTCCTATAGCAGAAAATGGTTAACTGGTGAAAAGGCCCGACAACTGCGTCTTATACATCTACCCACCTCATTCATGTCAATGCCATGGACTCTCGCTCGGGTTTCAACAAAAGGCCAATCGAACCAATCTCCGTTGTATGTCACAATTACGGTGGGACGGCACTCCTGAACGTGCTCAAAAAATCTTCGGAGAAGCGATTCCTAACATACAAAAAATGGCTTGGTTCTGCGCAACACACATTCAAGAAGGCTGCAGCGATCATACTTCATCTGGCTCATTGAACACTGTGAAATTCCCGGGATATTCAGGTTTTGAAGTGTACACGAAATCGTCAATGTCCTCTGATACAATTTCTCGATTTGTGATAAGGTAGCCCTGAAGATGTGCGTCTCAGTGCAATGCGCCTTATAGTGAGTAAATTATGAATGTTGGGACACTTACTAGGCCATCTATCATATATGAAATCATCATGATCGCATCAATCGTGGCATCAGGAAACTTGAGCGGTAGCTTTGTTGTCTCAATATCAAAGGCCAGAACCACAGGATCGGCACGCTTGACCTTATCTGGTCGTGGTTCTAACAAAATCGACCCTTGCAACGCTTTGACAGTGTACCACAATCCAACTCTTAGGTCTGTCAAGAGGTCAAAGTCACTAGACATTCGTGTATGAGAAACAAACAGGCGCTTCCAACTCACCACAATCTATGGCAGCGCGTGTGTAATATGTAACGTCATACTCTCTCAGATCTATGACAAAGTCCAGCGCATCTCGGTGGTTTTTTTGAATTGCCTGTTCCGCAGCGTTTTGTTGGTTTGTCATTCTAAACAGCCCAATGTCAGATATGCAATCATACCGAGATGATTCAAGAACCACCTACTCGGCAACTTCATCATACGCTCCAGATGTTTCCTGCTTGTGTCGATTTCTAGCAACAGCCGGTAGTAGCATCTTTCGAACAGAGAGCAGGTTCTGCACGTTCCAGAACTTCAGCTTCAGAAGCGTTCGCTTGTTTCCGAGAAGATGATTCGCCTATTGATAGAAAGTTTGTGAGCATCGTGATACTAGGCGCCAGTTGGGCGACACCCGCGATGACGTACCAAATCGAGATCGTCTTTTTCAACTCTTTCGACGGAAAGTATGACCTTGTCAAACCGGCGTCGAATGTACTCTTCAACGTCTGCTTCGGTGCCAGGCTGCGACCCCGTAGATGTCAGCGTTTTGTAAAGGAATGTTGAGCTCAACATTAACAAATCACACTGCTCACCTTGCAGAGCACAAAAAAGTACGGCTCGTATATGATTGTCGCCTTAAAAGAAGCGCCATCTTCATCCAGAAAGTACAAATCTACAGCTGCCTTTCCACTGGGCCATTCACCATCGAACAATACCGTCTAACATATTTGCGTCAAACCCCACTGTCCCTCAACAGCCCTCTAGGAAATGTCGTCTTACCGGATGCATATTCACCATCCAACCCAGCCGCTCCGGACCTTCCGTATATCGATAGAACCCCATCTTCTCATCCATTTCATCCCGTACACGAACCTCCTCTTTACGAAAATCGAGAGTATCCATGTTTTCCACAAACGGTTCGACAACCACTTCGGACGGTCCATCTACGTTTAGTCCAGAAATGGGAGCCTCTGTTCCACCAGAAGCATCATTTTCTGGTCGGTTAGCAGGATCCTCTCCAGTTGTTTGGTTTCTTTCATATCCTCCTATTCGTCGTCGCAGGCCATTGGAACGACCACCCTTCCATTTCCCTCGCCATTTGCCCCTTCCTCCTCGCGGCGGAATGCCAAATGTCATATTGTTCCAGCGGTAGTTTTCATAAAAGTTGGTGATTTAATAGGAGGATAATAAGATGTAAGTGTGGGCGGCTTGGTATGCAGCAGGACAATGTCCGTTGTGGAATACGCTGGATATCTCAAAGCTGAGATTCTCAACTCGATCCTGGACGCGGTGCTCGATGTCCGAAGATTCGGCCGGACATATATGGTTATATGACGTTCAAGCTTAGGTAATCGACTCTTTGAGGCTGTACAAGAAACACAGCAGCGCATGCGTTAAACCAGGTTTGATGTCATGGCCATACCGCCGTAGCAATTGCTATGAAATAGTGCAGTGAATGAATGCAACCACAACGAACCCACAATGGAAGAAATTACAAATATATTAAATTCAAACCGCTGTGTTAACCACTGTGTGGTGTCCCATCACATACTCGATAGGAGTTGTAGAACCAGTAAAAAAGGATTTAATGTACATACAGACATTCTATTCCCAACATTATATGACATGTGCATTAGTAAAAATAAATGGGAATGTACTCCCTTATATCCAGAGCCTCTATGTATCGTGAACCCCCCATTCTTGAATCATCTATACGTACAACAGCCCATCAAACCTCAACGATAACCTCCATAACCAATATAACCGTCACTGTATCCTCCAAAGCCGGTATGTCCATTATTTGTACCATATCCACCCGGAGGAAAAGCTGGCGCCGGACCAGATCTCGTTCGTGTATGTCCAGGACGTGCTCCCATGTAGTGAGTCCCGCTTGGTGGTCCCGGGTGAACCATAGGCATCGTAGGCAATGGCGGAACGGGAGGTATTTGCTGCTGGTAATAAGCTACTAACCCGCCGCCGCCGTACCAATCTCCATTGTCGCTTTTGGAACTTCCCAAGCGGCCTGCCGACGTAGATCGCAATTTACTGTTGCCAACCCCTTGCCATCCCGTCTCGTCGGTCAACATTTCTTTTGGGTTCCACCCACTTCTGGATCGACGGCGACCTTGAGGTGTTTTACTCCGTGGTGGCACTCCTACCATTCCTCCTATCATTCCTGCAATCATTCCGCTTGAATCTGGGGGAGGCCCCGACACACCAACCGTCGCAATACCAGAGGCTTCTGAGACGGAAATCGCCTCCATCAACCTTCTTCTTGCCTCGCGCTCCTCTTCTTTCAATCGTGCTTCCTCGGCCACTGCCCGTACTCGAACGTGTCCAACAGCCTCCTGAAGACATCGCAGGTCCTCCGCCGCTTTCATAACCTTCCATTGTCTTTCCTTGCGTTCACGTTCAGCGCGTATGATATTATGCCTTGCCGCACGCTCGGCGGCGTGCTGTGCTCGTTCTTGAAAATGCTGTAACAGATGCGTGCGTTGTGATGTGATTTTAGCATGGAAAGATTCTAGAAGGGAGGTGATGGTCGTTCCGGAAAGCAGCGCGGGTGTGCGACAGGTGCGATGGAAGTGCGCGACGAGGCGGTTCACATTATCGTCAAAGTGCGAAACATCCTCGTAGTAGCCATCGGCAATCTATACAGAAACCTGTTGGTACAACTTCTTGAAAACAGCTGTATCTGGCATCAGATGGATACCTTATTCGTAATTTCGTCTTGTCCCTTGGCCAATAGAGACCGACAACGAGCAATAGCCATTTCGTAGTTTTTGATAACAAAGGTGGCAAGAAACGCATCAATGGGATGCACTTTACCACGCTCGTCCATTTGACCCATTGATGCCTGGTGAGCAATTCGAACATCAGCACCTGGTCATTCTCGCGCAGAGACGCGTCAGTCATCATACCAAAAGTTCCTCTTCCCGTCTTCTCCAAAGTTTTCCTCTAGTGTCCACATCCAAGCTGTCCCGAACAGCAAGAGTAGACTTTCGGGCACATTCGTCATGCCGTTTGCGGAGAGCTGCTAAATCCATAGGCATGTCCGGTACTGCTACCGCTGCCATTAGGTCTTCATCTGCGAGAATTGAAAATTAGTTAGTACGTAAGCGCAAGATTACCCACTCATGCTTTAGTGGAACATACATTTAGATCTCGCTGTCTGCTGTACCATTTTCCATCTTCGGTCTGGGAGGAAACGTAGGTTTAAGCAGAGATAACATATAGTGCTCTCGGCATATGTAACCCACCATACGTCTCTTGCCATAAGGATGTCAGATCCAGGGGCTCACTCTTATTTAACACGTCGCAGCAAAGAACCAGCAGGTTAGCCACGGCTACAAACCGGCAGCTTTGTCAGCTTTTGCGAGTTGCTTCCGAGTCAGAACATGAGATGGCTAGACTCCACAATGTACCTTTGCCTTTCAGAGGAAGCGCCATCATATCCCCTCGTAACGCCCAGGCTTTCTTGACGTCGGTTGTCCTTCCAAGGGCACTAATCATCCGCTCCATACGTCGCCGGTATGCGTTGGATTTTGGCCGTCTCGGTGGATTATCCGCGGACTCATCGACAGGGGGCAATTCCTCCTTAGGAGATGGGGATGGGATGCTGTAGAGTGACTGGTATGGAAACAGTTTTGTGAGTACTGCCCGAACCATCTCAGTCGTCTCATTGGTCTTAAGCTGGTTTGGTGGGTGGAGCATGGCATCGAGGAAGTTAGCGTCGTCGTCTGACGTTTTTGTGTCGGCGTCTAGAAGGACCCAAACCAGCTTTGGGAGGCACAATGAAAGTACGTCCAGGCAAGTCGAAGGGTCGATGAGTTTCGGAAGTTCGCCAAATGCTCTATAAAATTCGTTAGTGGTTCGAGCATAGCTTTTTAATGGCCTTTGAACGTCGCGGTCTTACCTAAGTGTGCGCAGCGCTGCATCATCGAACCTCTCTCTCCCAACAACCAGCACCGATGATGCGATGAGCATCACTAGGGCAAGAAGGTTGAGTTCCCGGTCAAGGACTGTGTCGGTCCCTTCCAATCCAGGCGTATCAAGGAGGAGCACTTTCTTTGGCATGACTTGGGGCATTCCACTTGAGTTCATATCTCTCCGATTGTGGTTGCCCTGCGCATCCGTCTCCCACCATGGGTCCACAGTCATAAACGATATTCCCTGTTGTGACGGCTTTCTCGGGTTCTTTTCTTCCGCTACAGGAAAGCGCTTTCGGCTTTTCGCAATTCGGTTTAGCACGCTCGACTTCCCAATGCCACTCCCACCAATTGCAGCGATTACAAAGACATCCGCCTCGATTCTCCGTAAATGTTCGAGTCCTTCACGCCGAAGAAAGAGCGTCCCGTCTGAATCGACATCTACAAGGCGGATAATCGCAGTCGATCGGTGCGAAGATGATGATCTCGACAGACAGGATGTAGGAGTAAGCGCAGTCGATGCTGAAGACCCCGAGGTGGTAGAGGGGAGACTGGGTGGTGGGGTACTGAGGTAATTCAGAATTGGCTCCGACTTTGCGGGTTTGAGTCGGGATTGAGGCGTGCTGGGAAGTTGAAGAAGCGATTAATAACCTGCAAATCCCACTGTAATGTGATCTTTTTTTTGTAATTCGCGCACCTGGTAGAACTCGGGTTTCTAGCCCGCTCAGTAGACGAAGGAGTTTTAGGCCGCACGGGATTAACAGGGGTGGTGGATGTGATAAGTGCTTCCGGCGATATTGGCCGAGCCAGCTCTTTCTTCATTTCCGACATACTTTTACTCCTCTTTCCAAATAACTTGAATGCTCCCAGGAAACCCTTCACTCCGCCCTTCCGCCCATCTGCGGATGACGCTTTCGACCCCAGTGAAGAACGAGCGTCATGGCTCTTTCTTGCCGAGTCAGAGGGTAGCGAAGGCGCTCGCCGTGAGGCCTCTATCGACGCGCTCCCACCTCCCCTAGACAAGTCAAGCAAGGCGTTCGGCGGCATACTTGCACAAGCCAGGTGGTGGCAAGCTGCACCGACCCTCGATTACAGCGGACGACACACACACGACTTGGTAAGGTGTAGGGGAGGGCGTTTTAACAACGCGGCGTCGTGGGAAATGCTGACAAGATGGCGAGTATGCGAATTGAAATTCCAATATCTCGTCTGAGGTGTGAATGAAATATTCTGGCAAACGGTTGTCCAATCCTTATTGTCGGTTTCTGCATTCATGCAGCAATTCATCAGAGACTTTCCAGCTGGCCGCCGCTGCTTTATCTTCGAGCCCAGTTTCCCAATAGAAGCACGCGTTCCTAACGGATATTATCTACGCGCAGAAGCCTGTCCTTCTGTTAAGTAAGCGCTAATGGCAAGGTAAGCAATAAAAAAAAGAACTTCCAGTGCTATGGTCGTCCTTGTTTTTCGTCCTTTGGCACTGTCCTGTTCATCTTCAGGGACAAGCATAACAAAGCACGAGAAAGCAATTTACCAGATGCGCGCCAAAAACGTATTTAAAAAAAAAGCCTCGGAGGGTTGGGATACGACGGGGGTGTGATGTCAAATAGACGAGAAGACGCAGACAGCGTGGACACTCTGCCTCTTTTAGCTACTTTTTGCGTTTTGGCTTTGCATTCCATTTGACGTACTGGAATTTTCTTGTCAGCACGGGGGGGTACGTCGCACAGCTACTAACAGCAGGAGTTTTGGCACACAATTGGATCGCTGCCGATTTTCTTCCTCGCCACTGGGGATGCCCGACAGCAACGGCGAATAGCCAACTGTCCATAGCGTTCTTGCCATTCATGACATTCCTACGGCTAGCAAAGTCAAGCTAGGGCAACCGCTTGGCAACCGCGATTACTTTCGCATCTCACGTACATTATAATAGTAGTGAAAGGAATTTTTGGTTTGCTTATGTAAAAAGCATATGGGAAGATATAAACGGTTCAAAATACTTTTGCAATAACAAATTTACAACAAAACATCAACTATCTCGCAACCCCAAAAAACTATGCTTCTTGAAGGATATGCCCCACGCTCACGCAACATATTGTTAGATTGTGTTTTAAGCATTGAAAGCTTTGCTTCCCCACTCCGGGATCCCCTTTGCGGGTTCTGGTCCACCTACAGGGGCAACCTGATTCGCTGCTTGTGCAACCTTTTCGTCGAGGCTAAAGATCAAATCACGAAGAGAGTCGGACACGGCCTGCTCGATTTGCTTCTTTGCCCGGCTTTGGAGGATGGGTTTCGCGATCTTGTACAGGAAGCTGATATTGGAAGAGTTACAAATAAGTCCTTTGTGTTCTAGTCACACGGGATGGGAACGCTACTTGATACTTACTCATGGTGGGAATCGTGGAGACGGAGGTCAAGGTTATGCAAAGTCGTTTCCACCTCAGCTGCATGGAGGAAGCGGCCCTTGACGTCATCGCTTGGAGCCGCACGGCCAGTTTCAGCACCTGGGATGATCTTGACCCGAATAGAGAGCCCTTCACCCTTGATGTCAAAGTCTGCAAGACCGACATCACCCGCCTTCCAGAAACCAGAGTGCTTGTTGAACAACCATGCAATGTCACGAGCAGATGCTTCAATTTTGGAACTGAAGAGTGCAATGTTAACAGACTGAAAAACAATGCCAACAGAGGTAACCATTTAACTTACATTTCGAGAAGGATGTAGTTGTTGAATTGCTCGTTCGGGTCCTTCTTGCTAGCATCCACGGTGGTGTCGGTCACAATGTGCACATACTTGGGCAGAATAGTAGAGTGCAAAATAATGTTGTCGAAAATAAGGTGGTAAGTTCCGTCATCAACCTCAACACGAGGGATAGGTCTGGGAAAGTGATATCAGGGTCAGACCTGCACGGAAATAAAACCAAGAGAGCACGATACATACAGGTAAGCAAGTTTGTCGGCAATGGCCGGGATGCATTTTGCCAAGTCGCGAAGCAGCTCGGGTTTGAATGTAGGTTTGCCGCGTTCATCGAGGAACAAATCATTGACCAAGGCGTTAGCATCGGATTGCAATCTTTGGGTGGTCTTGTTGGATGCGAGGGCTTGGGCGTAGTTGCGGCTCTCGTACGAAATCTTTTGAGTGTGATAGTTGTACTTGTCCAAGGCCCGACGACCGCGTTCAACGAGTTCTTCAGCTTCACGGTCGTAGTTGGCCTGCTCAACGTAACCGGGTTCGCGGATAGTCCGACGAAGGTAGGCGCCAAAGTCGTTCCAGAATGCGCGCAATTCCTGGTCCTCACGAGCTTCCTCGGCGAAGCCTTGCAATGCGACAATGAGAGGATCCAATGAGCGGCCGTTGGCAAAGTTCTCAATGAGCTGCTTTGCATTGGCGGTGGCGATGCGAGCTTCCCGAGATGCTTCAAGCTGGTTGGGATCAGTAGGGGCCTCAGCGGTCTTCGAGATAGCAGCGGATGCCGCGGTCTTGGCCTGCCAGCCAAGGGGCGCGAGGATGTCGAATATGTCGTCGATACCGCCTTGGAATTCGGGCTTGGACTGAAGAGTCTGCAAGGACACCAAGTTGTCATCAGTATTCCGAGTAAACGACGACCAGGCGCTCATTGAACATACCTTTGCAACGACCTTCACACGGCGAATGATGTCCCTGCGCTTATCTTCGGGCATGTCTACCAGTTTGCGGGCAACGCGCTCACCAGTCTGGCGAAGTTGCGAGTTGGGATCACGGAGTTGCGCGGTTGCCTGATTAGCCAGACTTCGGCCCTGCTCAATGGCCTGGTTTTTCAGCCCAGTCGCGGACTCCTCACCAGTGTGAAGCTTGGCGCCATGCTCACGAATGGCTCCAGATGTCTTGTTGACCGTGTCCTCAGGTAAGTGTCGTTCAGCTTGATTAGCGATGGTATCAACAAGGTTCTTTGCAGTATCGCGCAAAGTTGCCCCGCCCGCAAGAGAGTCACCGGCTGTGCGTCTTGTAGCATCCCCGGCTTCTTGTGCTTTGCGACTTTGCTCATTGGCAGCGTTGTACGCTTGTTGCTTCCCTTGCTCATAGGTTACCTGAGCTTGTTGCCTTCCCTGTTGAGCCGCACCTTGAAGGTCGTTGTTACGCACTGTTTCGCGAGTCCGGGCAGCCGTATCGCGTACTTGTTCTGGTGCATTAGGGTCGTTGGCAAGATCATCACTGGCTTCGTCAATGTTACTTCGGGCAATTTCTAGGACGCAAAAGAACAAGTTTATCAACCTTCTGCCATGGCTGCGATTTGCATGGATTTCAAACCACCTACCTTGGGCAATCTCGCTGATTTCACTTAGCAGTGACCGGAACTCGCCAGATGTTACAATCATCTTGGCGAGCTGCGCGGCCTTGGCGCCAGCCTGTACTAACTGGTCAGCAGCGGTAGATGCCTCAGAGGCACTTAGTGGTTGTGAACGTCGAGCAGCGACTGAAAAATAACCGGAAATCAGGACACGCAACAATTAATCGGTGCAAGCGCGCGAGAACGATACATACGTCCACCATAGTAAATGGTATTCTGCAGCTCGTTGTTGGGCATTGTTTGGGTAATGACCTTCTTGGTGTCATCTAGGATGCGCTCGGTATCCGCCAAGACCTAAGGAGAGAGATCAGAAAAGAATAAATAAATGGTTCCTTCACAAACTATAGTATATGCAACACGTCAAGGTATAAGAGATCTTTGTACCTTCTTTCCCGCGGGACTCAAGTCTTTTGATACACCACCGAGGGACGCATCTTGCTGGATTTGCTGGATTCCAGAGACAGCCTGGGCGGTAGTTGGGAGTTTACCCTCCTTGAGGGCACCTGTTACTTCTCGTACTTTCTCAGCTCTCTGGCGTTCAATATCAGACATTTCGATAGTTTGAGTAAAAAGAGATGAAATGGGATATCAGAGGGATATGGAACAAAAGTGTTTGTGATTGATATTTGATAATTGAGTGTTGCTGTTCTTAATGGCAGTACAAGGAAAAGCCTCGAGAGATGCTCGTAGTCTCCCTTTTATATCCCCCGTCCCCCCGCCTCGAGTATCAAACTGCGTGATCTGCCACCCTCCGTCATACGACGTCATAAGGTGGTTACGTGTCTCTCGGCGACCCTTTTCCCATTGATATCATACAAGAATTTCCTGTCCAGCAGCCCAGGTGTGTGATGTCAGGTCCACTACGTTTTTGTTCTGAACAAGGTTTCCCCTTCGCGAACACATCTGCCACGCGTTTTTTAGACCTCCTACGAGCAAACGCAGAGGCACAAAATAAATATCCGCAATGGCGCATTTCGCATGTTGACCTTCCGCATGATGTGCATGGTTGCATCATTCCAAAGCCGCATTGTTCAAGAAAAAAAAAAAAAAACGTTGAGCAAAACTCTAATGAGCTCAGATGATGACGTCACACCTCCGATCCGATACCTCAGCAAAGTTTCCCCCGAATATCATAGATTACTTAATCATACGCGACATGGACAAAGCAACGATTTCCTCAAGATATGACCATCTGGTTCAGCTGCAAGAAAATAATACACAGGCGAGCAACATTACATACACAAAAGATTCCAAAGAATGGTGTGCCATACAGTAATAGTATATGAAAATACGCTAGCATGCAACCGGTCAAATAGTCTCTTTTACTACTGTACTATACGCCAGTTGACGGTGGAGCGTCATATGCTTCCAACCAGCCCAAAGCGACGAACCAATCGTATAATTTTCCAGTCTTGTTAACGTCCACTCTACACCATTTCTGAGCATCTCGTTTTTTAAAAGGCCCTCGCTCTGCTTTGGCGGTAAGAAGGGTTTCCTTTATTTTCAGGTAGGTCTCTGGTAGAAGACGGAGTGTCGAACACGTGTGAAGTTCTTCGGGGGTGAGATGGCTATAATAAGGTGTTGCTGGGGTTATGAGAAGCGGTTCACCTGACAGCAATACAAGCACATGTTAATTATCTGTTTGTGAGAATAGAAAGATCCTTGTGAGCAAATACCTTTGGTCCACGTAATAACTGGAGCACCTTGGGTTGTGCCGGTTGTCTTTGGCATAAGCGCCATATCATCTGGTGAGAATCCCTCCGCAAAACGATTGGTCATGGGTTTTCTTCCGCCCCGTCCTCGCCGTCTAGGCCTTCCCACTTTCCTTCCAAAAGTCTCATCCTCACTGTCGCCATAAGCAACCCGCTTCCGCTTCCACGCCCAGAGCGCCTTTCGTCGTGCTTCGCGGTCAAATAGGAGTTGTGCGGGTTCCAAACGGTAGGCGGTGTACACGTCCAGCTTGATGATGCCCAATTCGCGCTTTTGGTCGCTGGTCAGTGAAGAGGGGAGGGAACGGTGGGGTACAGGAATCTTGCGGCAATTGTGGGACGCGGGGGAATTGACTACAGTTTTATGAGATGCGGCACAGGAGCATTGGGAGGTTGTAATGGTGGTGGATGGGCTACTCGTATGCACTTCGGACACGGGGGGAGAAGGAAAGGAAGGAGTCGGTGTTCCCAGTGTTTTGGAACATTCATCCGAAGGAGTAAGCGCTGAATGGTCCATCAATTCAGATGATACCGCCGACATCGCTTTCTGACAGGGGTAAAAAATGAGGTGAGAAGGTGTTCAAACCAAGCTTCCAAGCGTAATACGATCCGCAGTCTTTCAAGGCATGGTTTCGTAAAAAGGATCCTTCCGACGGATTAGTAAGCAACAGCTCAAGCCTCCATCATGTGGGCATCCACACCGACATGTCTCATCGGAATCGTTCAGCCCAATGATCTTGTGTGGTGGTGAATACTTACTACGAGCTTGCACTGCTAAAGACACTGGTACCCGATGGGCGGGAAGCTCTCAGGGCCCCACGTAATATACCCTTCCGCTCCCTCTCACGCCAGACAGAAAATAGTAACATGTCATTTGGTCGGACATCTAAAAATATAGCACGCGGGATAAGGAATGGCCGAGCTCAAGCCGCAGTTGACAATTATCCCAAACGTCAAACGTATCCAGCTTGTCACTAAAAATACGTTAGCGATGGGATCCAGTCCTTGGATCTTGTTTGAAGCGGCAATGCGCCATAAACCACTATCCATTGGTAAATCAAATTAACAAAACCTAAAGTCCAATGAATTTCCGACTCTCCACAGCCCCAAACCATTCACACTGTGTATCTACACGACATCTATTCGATTCAGAAATAGCAACAGTCAATATTTCTGATAAAGGTCCCGAGGATCCACTCACCCATCCTAATCCAGCGGTCGTGACGATCCTGAAGTGCCCCCGTCCAGCCCCATAGTTCATGCATGCCCATGACCCTCCCCTCGTGCGTCGAAACCTATCTATACCTTTATGGGCATGGGCAAACAGTCCTGAAAGGCGCGTGGAATTTAAAGAAGATAACGTCGCAAGACATATTATTTTCTTAGAATATGGACGCCTCAACAGGGTTGCCGCTCGCCAGACATTCCTGGAAATGTCTTTGAGGAATACACTCTGAACAGTTCAGTTGATACAGAAGCGCGCGAACCGAAGCTGACGAGGATGAATTAGGTAAACGGTGGTTAGCGCCTTCTGTCGACACAAGGTAGAAGGCGTTTACTCATAAACTGCTAGCGACAAAAATGCTTCCCTAGTTGGTTCACAGCTACGGCATGGGTGGAACAGTAGCAATGTCCAACTAAACATAGCTACTCAGTTTTGCCCTTCTTAGTCCGATAGACCTCATCGTGAATTGGTGAGAAGGATCAGCGTTGTAGTATCTACATGACGGTTTTTTGGAATAGCGCTTTTCCTCAAAGTGAAAACATTGGTAAGATGAGGTTTTGTCGTTGGATTCGTGCTTCACCATGGCCTGCATGATACGCATCATAATAATCCATCGGTTTGCATTGACTATCGTCAAAGCTTGAGTTTTCTTCAAACTTCTATTTATTGGGAAGACCCTGGATTTTGTGATCGTGAACCTACTCTTCCTTTATATTGTAAGCATGTGTAGAATTTTGTCCCCGGCAATGTTCAAGGAGCTGTTCTTAATCTTTCTCATGCATAATTATCCATGCTTCGATTGCATAGTATTCACATGTGCATAGTAGGTTTTCGTATGTACCTCATTGAAGTCTCAATGGAACCATCATAAGCTTTTCGACGCATCCATGCGACTCCTCCATATCTGCAGTGATATTTCTTCCCTTTCATTGATTCTCAGCCTACTGACTGCATCATGACATCGAGGAGATTGGATTAATTTGAAGAATGATCTTTTCCGGATCGCGGAGAACGTAGTCTTTCACAAAAAAAAGCCGCATTACTTGCCTAATACTGACTTTTGTCTGCATGAGGCGGGGGCTTGAAGACAAGATTCTCATCTTAAATTAGGACTTGAGAAAGATCAAGCTTTATGGTTTTGTATGACTGGATTGGTTTTTCTCATAACTACATGTTTCTAATGTTCCAAGTAAAACTATGAACTATCAAAATGCATGAAATACACATTACGTTCACCTTGATTCATGCATATTTTTGGGAAAACCATCTTGCGGTTAATGAAGTATGATGAGTAATGGAATCCAATAACACGATGTCAACCTGACTTTAACCTCTAATTATTGGACAACCAAGATAATTAACCGAAACGCTACTTGACAAGACTGTAACCCTAATACCGTTGAGTTAATCATACAGAATCATGGAGTTATTCAAGTTTATATCTTGTGATACTGGTCAAGCAAACTGACTATTGCACTTGATTGTACAGCAGTTTCATGTCCCTGCAGCCTTCATTCCTCAATGTTGTTATGTGAGTCTCCTGTTAAGACCCACCAGGCACTCTTTAGATAAATGAAAGCAGCGGTCAGTGGGGTAACCACAGAATCATTACTGTAAAAGGCTAGGTGAAGCCAAAGAAGAGGGTGACGTGTGTGGTGTCTAAGTGCAGTAAACTATCACTCGCCACCATGATGATGCTGCTCTGATTGTCGCACCGTTCAAAACGGATCGGCAAATGATCGGCAATCATCAGCCATCGGCTTGAGGTTGCTCCTATGGTGCCCGGCACAGGGAATCCTTCTCTCCTGCGTATGGCGACGACGACAATGGCGAGGGGAGTCAGCTCGTTGACATCCAGACGAGACCAGAAACCAAACAAAGGGAACAGTCCACAACTCAAATGATCGGCGATGGGATAAAATCCCAGAATGAATTGGTGACACCCAAAACGAAACCCAAGCGTTCCAATTACAGTTCTCACAGACACCCAACAGGTACCGAGGGGCTGGAACTGCGTCATTTGTAGACCGACCTCACACCATGTCACAAGCCACTGGATAAGCAAAGAGAGTGACTGCACACGTATTTAAGTTAATAGATAGATACAGAGACTATAGAGGCTTCAGCCTGGACAATTTCTGCGATGTCGGAGTGTTTCAACTGGGGTAAATAAAAATGTCCTCCCGCATTTGCTACATTCAAACGTCTTGCGTGCGGCATCTTGTGCAGACTGTGATGATGGTTCCTCGGTGGTTTTCTCGGCCATGTCAACACTAGGCTCCACTGGGAGTTCTTTTGCGTGATCACTTGCTGGTTCGGGGTGCTCTGTCTGCATGTCATCCACTACCTCCTCATACAGAAGCTTTCGCATTTTCCTTGTAACGATTTTGGGGTTGGCTGCAAAGTACCGAAGATACGGTGTAACTTGAACCGACGCCTGCTTGAGAGTCTCTGGCGTGTATGAATCGTATCCAAACTATAATGGACGACATCAGGAGAATTCCATTATTTAATGAGCATAACGGATACACACCATTTGTGAGACTTCTTGCATCTTTAAACGCTCTGCAGTGAAGGACACATCCAGATCCAAGAAATCTCCCAGTTGTGCTATAAATGTCCAAAAACTGGTGAGTTGGGATGGGCATAGGGAACACGATCGACAACTCGTACCAGATACATCTTCAGCGCCAATATCTGCAAAGGCCCCTATCCCGCCCAAAATTGTGCCATCCTCCCAATCTCTGCGCATGCGCTTTATTGCCGATGGCAGGAAGTCGAATTTAGCCCAATCCGTTCGTCCTCTACGACTGTGCCGTGCAGACTGTCCTGATGTTTCGTCTTCCTGTAAGGCTGAATCACCCAAGGCGGTCCCCACTACCTCTGTCGCATCTTTTGACGACAGTACTGCATTTTTAAAAAGGCGCACATTCTGGAGTAGAACGGTGCAAGTCATTATCTAGTTTCAAAACGCTCAAAGCAAGTACTCCACCCTACCTCCAGTTTTCGACCAACAATCATATCCCATGCGACGCGTAAGAAATTCGCCAACACCAAAACACGCTGTGCAACGTGCGGATCATGAAAGTTGAGATGTAGCCAGTCATCAACGACGACATGCATTGTGTCTGGGCTGATATCGACTAGCGGAAGCCATGCATGTGAGCAAGATTTTGTCATACGGTCAACAGAGCAAATTACATACTTGAACGTCCGAACAAGAGGCATGCTGAAAGTGCAGGTACTCGTAAGACGTTCATGAGGTACGGCTTGGTTGTCTCCAATAGCTCCAAGTAGCATAACATCTCTGTTACATGGGTACGTGCATGAAGGGTGGCTAGTGTTTCCTTGCCATCTTCCGGAACAGGTATCGTCCCTGCAAACAAGTTGTAAGGGATGACAGCGGAAAGGACAGACCACCACACTTGACTGTAGAAATCGCTGGACATTTTATATACCTTGAACTTTGGGCTGCACCAACTCTGGTTTAGACGCAAAAATACTTGTGGGATGCATTGCCACAAATCTGGCCAAAAACGAAATCAGAATGGACATGACTACATCCTCCCCTGTAAACTATCCATACCTCTTTCCTTTAGTATGAAAAACCTGCTCGGTTGCTCTGCGTACGTGGTTCGCCTCATCTGGAACCGCTAAATGTGGGTACAATCCTGAACAAACCACCAATTTGAGGAGATTCACATCTCTCTCGGTCAAGTTTCCAACATCTGAGCGTTGGAATAATTCACGAGCATCGTGCTTAAGAGAAAACTCTAAGGCATCGACTGACATGTCTGCGATGTCTAAACAGCATAGAACAAGTGGATTCATGTCATAATATGTCCACTACGCATAGGGATAGACGACAGAGTGAATGTTACCATCTTCAGGTTCGTCTTGCTCTCCAGCCTCAAACCCTTCAGATTCCTCCATCCGTAGCATCTTTCGTTTTCCGGAACTCTGTAGCCGTTTCCGCCGCTCTAGCATGCGCCTCTGCTCACGTCGACGTTGATACTCTGGGTCCTGTGTACAGCTGCATCGTCAGAACGATTCATCGTAAATAGAACCTATTGATACATACTCTCCAGTTCAACCGCCCCTTATCATCTCTGTCTTCATATTGCTTACGTTTGCGCCCAATTGCTTCCTCGCTGTCGTCCTCGCCCGCAGAAGAAGCTGACATTCGCAAGTAATCCTGCAAGACTCCTTCAAATTGCTTCTTGAGTTTCACCATTTCATATAGTCGTTGCTCTTCCACACCGTGACGCTTGCACCAATTTCGGGAGGATTCCTTTTCATGGAGTTGTAAATTAATAAAGATTGACAAATTTGGACACTCCAAAATATATACCTCTCTCGCAGCTTTCACTCTGAGCCATTCTGAGAACACATTAAGCAGTGTAAAAGGGTCACCATGATCGGATTGAAGAGATCGTCGGTTCTGTGTCCATGGCAGATGCGGTGGGTATGATGTTGAAAACATTGAAACCCGCCATCAAACATATCGCGTGCATACCTCGAGAATATCCACCTTGTGCTCAGGGACGCGTATGAATGGTGACTGAACACTCAATGCTGCAGCTATCACCACAATGGCATCGACAAGATCACAGATCTGCCAGGCAAAAAAGCAAAGCCATCAGCTTTCCTGAGTTTCCGCAAGTCTCTGCCCGACACGTACCGATCCCAAAATTAGCATTTTCCCTAATACCACGTCCAAGGGTAACATGGCCAATACCCTCCCCAGGGCAGTCAAGGCTTCTTTCCTGTCTAGTGCGCCCAAATCCTGCAACCGCATTATCGAAAATGATATATTGGCGTCCGCTGGTCGCTCGATGAAATCAAAATCTCGTGGATCACCGAGACCGTATGCCAGGATTTGGAGGAGAAGTGGTTCGAGAGGCATGCGTAGAATTTCAGGCACAGGAAATTCGTTAAGGCGGTCATACTCCTTTTTAGAATAGAATCGATAACACTACAGGAAAAATATTTCCAGATATATAGTCATTAGGGATGTATCGTTGTGCACTAATCTTTAGTACGTACTTCACCAGGCCCCGTTCTTCCTGCACGACCAGCCCGCTGCTTTGCGCTTGACTGACTAATCCAAAACTCTGAGAGGCGGGACAGATTTGCAGCGGGATCAAAGCCCATTTCCTTGACCTTGCCTGAAGGATATTAAACAGTATGAATTGTTGTTGAACCTGCTGAATGTATTGATTCCTTCGTGCGCACCAGAGTCAATAATAAAGCGAACACCGTCAATGGTGACGCTGGTCTCGGCGATGTTGGTGGAGAGGATGCATTTGCGGACCCCGGCAGGAGGGACATCAAAGACCTGCTCTTTCATGTTAAGCTAGTATCTATATTCACATTTGCCGAGCATATTCATATACCTTTTCCTGCTCAGTCACAGACAAAGAACTATGCAGCAGAAGTATAATCCACTTCCTAAACAGTGAGTACCGCTTAATCAGTATGTGCAGCTATCGGCATAAGAACGCGTAGGGTACAAACTTTGTGTAGTTTGCATAACCTTTCAATTCATCTGCCAAGAGCGAAATCTCATTGATACCACTGACAAATATGAGCATGTCGCCTCGCTCGTGGTCCGGAACCACTTGATCGATCTTCTCCATTATTCTCAGGTATGGTGCTATTGCACTCAGCAGTGAGAAACATGATGCACTTTCAAACTTCCTAGAAATTGGGTCTTACCAGCATCAAGTTTGGTTGGGCGAGCGGGAATGGATTGCCGTACTTCGGCTTCCATTCTTTCATTGTACAGTCTGTCATCAACCAGATTCCTGTCTTCTTCCTCTATCGGTAGATACTCAATCGTAACAGGATACATGCGTCCAGGAACCTACTAAGCACTACAAACATTAGCTCACAATAAAGATTCGTAGAACAAACAAAACTTCATGGATCTTGCCTCGATAATTGGTGCGTTAAAGTATTCGCTGAAAAGCTTCGCATTGATTGTGGCGGACATCAGGATCACCCGAATATCCTCTCGATGCGACAGCAAGCGCTTCAGTACTCCCAGGAGGAAATCACCTGATGCCAGAAAGGTAGATTTATATAATGGATTGATAAAGTGCCATAGTAGAGGACACTACCTGTCATATGCCGCTCGTGGACTTCATCTACTATAATCACATTATACATGGGCAGTTGCGGGTCGCTTGCAAATTGTCTTAGGAGCACCCCCTGTTGCCATTGTTTAAATCTTTATTTCTCAATTATTTATTCTATGAGAGCATACCTCCGTAAGAAACAAAATCTTTGTCTTCGTAGTCTTGGTGCCTTCGAATCGAACTTGATATGCAATTTCTGAGCCATACATGTTCATGCTCTCGTAGCTACAATCAACGTGAGATGCTTTTGATTATTAAAAAAGGAATTTGAGCTTAATACTTACCTAACTCGTCTAGCGAGACTGTAGCAAGCAATTCGCCTTGGCTGTGTACATGCGATACGGTCGAAACCGGCAGCTAGCAGGTACTGAGGCACCTGAGTGCTTTTACCGGCGCCCGTGTCCGCTATGGTCACAAAACTGTTAAGGACTACTCGGTGATACTCTGCATTTAGTATCGACCGCTCACCAGCAATGAGTACGACGCGGTTATCGCGCACAGTTTCCGAGATCTTTTCCTGCAGCGGTTTAATGGGCAAAGCTGCACGGTCCTTATCAAAGTAAACGTCAGGTCCAAGCGATTCAACCACACATTGCGTATATCGCTTTCACCCACGCTCTCAATTTTCGTCTTCAATTGTTCCCGTTTTCTCTCTTGGAAATCTGCAAAAAGCACCAATGCATGTCGACTATCTGCTATCTCATCACGTTTTGGTGCTTGGTGTGGGTTTCCTGATTTTATCGCAGCTACTTCATCTGCTTTGAGCTTCTTCTCCCGCATGACGGTGAATTTTAGGAAAAAATCTTTCTCGTGGCGGGATTGAAGCAATGAATTTAGATATGGTAACGTGGGAACCGGATGGACAAAGAGAAGAATAAAAGATATAATATTTTATTACTTTTGACGTCAACATATAACAAGGGAAAACACACTGGACCACCAGACATCAATAGGCTCTTCCAGCCACACCAAGATCTGTCTATCCTCATACACTGTGTCCAAACGCAGGTTGAAAACGCACCTCTGAATTCATCATATTCAGGGTCTTCTCGTCGAAAGGGTGCCTCGCCCCCTCTCCCGAAAAGCACACGATCTGCTTCCCATCCCCACACTGGCGCCCCTCTCTCCCGCCGACCTCCACTTCGCAATTCAGGCTCTTCACCTGAACGCCCTTGTTCCCGTTTGTCGCGGTTCTCAATTAAGATAGCCTTTCGTGCCTCTGCGAGTGCCTCCTCTTTGCTAAGTTTTGGCTTTTCCGGTCGTTGTTGCCACCTCTAGATATGCAAGGAAAAGACGAGATCAAGATCAAAGTGAAAATGTGAGTTGTCATGTTACTGTCAAACTTACTCCACCGCGCCGCCTATCCCACTGCTCTCTTTCGGCCGCTTCCCTTTCTGTTTCCTGTCGCAATGTTCCATCAATATTGTATCGCAACTCTCCCATCGTCGCCAGCCCCCCAATTATTTGATATCCACAGTTCGTGCTCCTGAACTGAGTTCAGACGCTGTGCCACATATCACCATGGCAATGAGATGCCATCCAACCCGAACCCGAACGTCCCCATAATACCAGAGCTTAGTTGCCCGTTCCTCGTCACTCTGCAAAGGTTCGCAACTCATACGCATAGCATCAGCTGAGGATGTGGTAATGTCTCCAATTGCTTAACAAATGGACATGAAAGTGATATATGCCGTCTCCCTCAGGCGGTCTCAGGCGGAAAGATCCACGTCCATGGCTAAACGTAACGTGAACCTGCACTAGCAAGCCACGCCGTAAGCCACATCATGGAAGCATTTTCCATTTGTTTTTCTTTCACCGGCGCACTCCAATGAAGGTTGATAATGCAAGAGCACGGTGGGATATTGAAAAGTTGTCCATTCCCTCCAACCCTTTGACTTCAGATGGCAGGGGGTAGTCCGAGTATGCACTTTCCCAAGTGTCCAACCCAGCGTTCATGCGTTCATCCAGTACGGGATTTCGGGTGGAAATCTCCATTTCGCTTTGCCATCAAAGTATGATTGGATTTAAGTTGGCTAAATCTGCTTCTCACTTCCTTACCCGGGAAAGAAAAACCAACCCCGACAAGGCAGCGATGAACTACTTGATGTACATTTTTGGTACAGGTACAAGATACACATTAAAATAATACGATCGGGTGGGTGGTGAGAGAACCCTATTCAAATAAAAAAACTACCAAACTCTACCAAAACCTTTCCTCCACCGCCGCCTTGTTGAAGCAACCGGCCAAGTGATATAAGAGAGAGAGAAAAATAATGTGGATGCCCCCAAATGACTGTTAGAAAATAAATTCGCAGAGGACACAAGATACGGAAGTATCTCTCTCGGCGTGTTAGATAGGGTGATTGATTTGCAAACATTGCTCGTCCGTTTCGTGAAGGCGCAGACGGCTGCTTCGCTAAAGAAAAACTGTCCGCTATGTGTGCTGCTCTCTTCCTAAGACTCGTCGCGTTGAGGTGGCGGACTTCGACTAAAATTGCGGACGAGCTTGGATAAGTTTTCTTGGTTCCTTACAGAACCATACTCAAAGTGGAATAAAGGACTGCGAAACTCACTTGCGTGCTCGTATCTCCACAATGCCCTGTTCTGCAAGACGTCTGGACAATTCCGTTGACTATATCGGCGGCGTCAGCAATGCAATCAGTATGCAGAGATGTAGATAGTATTCTACCTTTAGCATTCCCGGGAACTGTTTCGGCCTGTAGGACTCAAAGGGCAAGGATTGAACTACCGCCAGCACCGGCTTTCCTTCTACGGCATCACGGCCAACCATCTGCTTCAAGTTGCCCTCTGCTGGCCTCCTGTTCCCGTGACGAATGCAATGAGTACGAGCACCGGATTTATTGCATAGTTTGCCGCAAAAGTGCAGAGAGCATACATCATGCTGACGTTGAGGAACTCCCTCATGGGCAACCAGAACTTACCCTAGCGAAACGTCCACAAGCTGAAACCGAAACGAGTATCGTCCAGGCAAACGAACAGACAAGTCCGGATATAAAAACATCATTTTCCGCTTATCGTCCACATCTTTTAATGATTGAGCTATGGCCACCTGGGAACCAACTACTGCGTGCACGCTGGCATCTGCTGCGTCGTTTCCACCGCCTTGGGCGTATACGTTTTCTACCAAACTGCGATCCTCTGTGCCCTCTGGGTTCCAAAGTGATGCATGGCATACTAGGAAAGGAGCTTCTTCGCAGCTACAAAACGCGGACAATGTGCTTAGGTGCGACACATTCTGTCGCAAAAATCGACATTATACTGTTGGCATACCTGTCTATTTCCTTGCCAGCAGCATCCAGTCTCACCAATTCCACTACTGGCGGCTACAAGGTCAAAATATTGGGAGACGCCATGTCAGTGGATATTGGCGGGAATCACGCCAGATAAACAAGCAATCGAAATCATACCGGATCAACGGCTCGCCGGTCTAGTCGAGCAAGGGTGAGCAATGATGCACGTGGTATAGCAGAAAACACAGCACACCTTGTGTGTGTGTGCGTGTGTGTGCGGCAAACTCTTACCTTTATTTCCAAATCCGCAACAGCGTGCACGTACTGGGTGTTGAAGGATTCTCAACTGATATGAACACACCATTCTATTAATCCGCAATATTTGAGACACACACACACACATGAGCAAAGACGACGAAGAAACCAAAAGGTTGCGCATAACACGTACGATGCGGTTGAAGGTGCATCTGATGCGGGATTTTGCTGTGACTGCGGTGGGTTTGACGCTGCCCTATCAGACGAAAGTGGTCCTCTCCCATAAGCATCAGAATTCCGCGGGCCCGGATCCCGTTGATGCGGTCCGTCGACAACGCTGTCGATGGATAATGGATGACGCCGTCCAGATTGGGAATGAGACTTGTTTGACTGCAGATTAGATGCAGACGACATTGTTTAAATGTGGTTGTCGGTTGGGTGGGGGAAACCCGGTAACAGCTTGCGACCAGGCGGAATTTTCAAGACACAATGTTGTAGTGTGTCCAAACGAGACGAGTGGGAGGCGATCCAATGACTGGAAGCAAATGCAGCTTGGTTATGAATTCTGGCGCGGGCAGGTCTCCCGCAGGCCAAACGCCCAACTTTTTTTCAGGCGAAGGGGGGAGGACGGGGAGTGGAAGGGAGGAAAAAGGTATCCAGTCTTTCCGAGACAAGGGCTCCGAATTTCGGCCGACCACAAGAAGTACTTTTGGCTCGACTGGTTTCGAAAAAGTGAATCCACGTGTTCCGAAGCCAATGGAGAGAACCAAGTGATTTCATGACCATTGGATAACCACACGTAATCCATCCTGGTTCCCGGACTGTCGTAGTAGACGAGTCTTCCACGGCTCCCACGAATGTGGGCGCTGACTAATCACCCACCATTCAGTTACTATGCCGCAGGTCGAACCATCCCCCACGCCCTTGTGACAGGTGAAAAAAAGTTCCAACTCTGGAATCTTTTCGGGGTGCAGGAATGGGTGGCATAACCCCTTACAAATTGGCATATTGTTGCACTGGGAGAAGGATTTCCTTTTGAGAGTAACCCTTGAATGACCTGGATATATTCGTGCCGTTTTTGCCTGTTGTCTAGAGAATATCCCTTGTGTACGAACTGTCCACGTCGTGGGTCGTGTTCGTGATCGTTTGTTGACGACGCGACGGGCCCCACAGCCCTTTCAAGGGAATTTTTTGCAAAATTCGAAACGATTGCTTGGTAGAGACATGAATGGGGATCTCTAGCCAGCTGAGCACCATCACCGATCAGCTGAGCCAATATCGCTGCTTACCCGAAAAATGTTTACCCCACGTGACATGCGCTCATAGCTGAACGCCTCACTCTTGCGGCTGGAAGCATTGGATACTGGCTGTTGAATGCTTGAGTCAGCTCCGATCCACGGACCAGACAATTCAAGGTGTGGAAATTCTGTGGAAACTTTTGAGACAATGAATGGGTAACATTTTCTGAACAATGGGGCGAATGGGCGCAGTTCAACCCCAAAATGTCGGTGGCTCCAAGGTCGGACCCTTGGAAGGTCGCACGGGAGAATCCACCACAGATAGATGGGAGATAGGAAGAAGCACAATGCGTTCTGCAGGTTTTTTTTTTTATTGTATTTTAGGGTTGTAGACATGCAATTAGGTTGCGATCATTACCCTGAAACAGTGTGAGATTTCTAGTCAAAATCAAGAAACGCATCTCCGCGGACCTTCCCGGAGACTATTAGCCGGGTCGAACTCGTCAAATTACATGATTTCGTAGATTGTCTGCTCCGTGGGTGAAACTCCTTTGTTGATTACTTGGCGGTTGCATGAGCTCTCCCTTGAAAAGTGTTCATGTCGCATGGGTGAATTTAAAAAAATTATGCAAGTTGCACAAATCAACTTTGTAAATGTTACTGAACGGACTCCCCGGAATCTGGCATACGACTACAACTCTCCCCATGCAGGCGAAAGACACTGGAAATATCTTGTGGCTTGGGTGTGCGAAGGCTTGTACACGTCATACCGCGTATTAGATAAGCCCGGACCTTATGACGTCACATTGAGGTTGCCAATGGCCCTTGTATTTAAGATTTCTCCTCCTACTAGAGTCCTTTCGTTTTTGAACGTCCAGCTTGCAAAAAAGTTTACAAGTTTTAAAGTAATAGTTTGACAATATGCCTTCTCAAACCAAGGAGAGTTCTGCGGAGCCTACGTATGAGTATCACGGTGGTGCCCCTCCACCAAAAGCAACAGACAAGATTGTCCAACCTGCCCAAGAAGAAGCGGAGGTGAAAGGTATGACCCTTTCATTACTGTAGCCATTAACTGCGAAAGTAGGAAACTCACATGTAACATCCATAACGGATTTAGATGCCATCATCCACGAAACTGTTGCTGAAGTGGAACGCGAAGAGATCCAGCCTGTCGTTGAAAGAGAGCGGATTCAGACAGAAATTCAGCAGGTCGTGCAACCTGTTTTGGATGTTGTGACCGAGGCACCTACAGTGGAGAAGGTCGAGTTGCAGGAGGAGAAACACAGATATCGCGAGAAAGTCAAGTATGTATCCATTCTCGTGGGGCGTCCGAGATAAAGTACGGAATTGACATAATTTGACGCATGATGCAGAGAGGCCGACCTAGAGCGATACCAGGAACAAGCCGATGCATTCAAGGACGAGATTCATGAAAGTGCTGTTATCCACGAAAAGGTTCGTTTTTGGACTATTTTTTTTTTTTACTTTTGGAGCCAACCCGCTGATTTAAATATCAAACGACCACTTAGGTTTATAAAGAGCCTATCATCCACGAAACAGTCAAGACAAAGATAATCACAGAAGTGCAACCCGTCATTGAGCGAGTTATCCATAAAACTCATGTCGTGGAAGAGTACGTATATTGAGCATGTTACAGGACACAAATTACCGTAATTAACCTTTATTTTTTTCCATTAGAACCAAACCAATTAAGGAGACTTTTATTAAAGCACCTGTTGTCCATGACCAGGAGATTGCTCCTCCTATATCCATGGAAGAGTTTGAGACGCTCAGCAAGTCACCTGAAAAGACTCCGACAAAGAGAAAGGTATGTCGACCAATAGATTGTACTTATCATAAATCGTGCTGACACAAGGTGGGCATGTTAAGTCAAGGGCCTCACTTAGCCCTTCCCCACTTGATGGCGACGGGCCCATGACGCGATTGAAACGAAAAAAGTTGGCTGAGGCAACAGAAAGTGAAACCGGGCCAGCCGAAGTGACAGAGCTTGTGGATGATGGTTATGTCGAGGTCGACCAGCCGTCTCTAAAGCCCTCCACCATCCACGGTACGGTAGAAAAAATTGTGGGAGCTGTTGAGGCTGGTGTTGGCGAATTGATTGGAAATGATGGGTTGGTAGCTAAAGGCCAAGCAAGAAAGGTCGAAGGGGAGTTGGAAATTGAGGCTGCACAGGCAGCCAAGAAGCGGAAAGTGGATGTTTGAAAACTTTTGATAATTGATGACGGTGTAAATATGTGCGAAATATGATTTTTTTGGAATAGCAAACGTTCTTTGCAACGCTCACCCGAAACAAGACCTCTATATCTCGCATATCTACAATATTGGGTATCTACACAACAAACAGGGTTTGGGGGGACCTGATTGTAAATGATTGTAGTTATATTTGGTTGTCAATTAGGAGTATAAGTCAATATTTGCAACCAGGTCTGCAGACCTGGGTCCGCGACTCACTGGGAACTCGTCGGATTGATTTGGAGTAAGTGCGAAATATGGTTTTTTTTGGAATAGCAAACGTTCTTTGCAACGCTCACCCGAAACAAGACCTCTATATCTCGCATATCTACAATATTGGGTATCTACACAACAAACAGGGTTTCGCCAATAAAGCCACAAAATATGAGCACGCAAACCACAACGCCTTCCAGATTTTCAAAATCATGTTCCCCCATCTTCACACACTACGCACAGAAAAATATTAACTTCATACAAGAAAGAAAATCTTTGGTCTATAGGAGAATACAGCGGCCAATCATTCTGCATCGTCCACAATACCAGGACAAGATACATCGATTTGAACTCCCACAGCATCCTCACCAATATCGTCCATGAAGGCAACCTTTCCAGGCTTCACAGCGAATACACGGATTTCAGGAGGGCTTTTGGTCAAATCAGGCACAATTCGCACCCACACACGATCAAATATGCGCACAGTTTGCGTGTCCACGGTTGCGGGATCAAATGTGCGGCGTTTGGGTTTGGTGGCTTTAGCGTCACCGGCGGGGGTGGACGGTGTTTGATGCAAAGACGACGAATTATCACGAAGAGATACGGAGTCGTTCGACGATATGCATGGGGTAATATTGGGATGACTTTCAGGGTTGGCGGATTCACCTTCAGGCTTGCCATTCGACGATGCGTCGCTCCCACTGCAAATGATATCTACTGCATCTTCTGCGTCTCCAATGTTCAAGTTCTCCAAGCTACCAATAACAGCGGCCATTCCATTACTATCCTTCTTCCAATAGATTCGAAGTTTGCCAACTTCCCCTTTGACCTCTTCACACCCAACAACCTCGCCCAACTCGATTGAATCCTCAAGCCAAATTCGCTTTTCGAGTCCGTACTTGGGAACCAAGACGTCAAAACCTCTGGTCCCCACATTGTACACAATAGCCTCTGCAAAAATTCCGTCTTTCGCCGATGTTTGATTGCTTTGCGTTCCGTTGACGGCCCCCTTTTCACACAATCGCTTCAAATATGCACACAAGAAAAGCTTTTGACTAGCTTCTTGTGCGTCTTTACTTGCGTCTTTCCGATCGTTACATTGCTTGGCAACTAGAGTTACTTCTTTCGTATTGTAAATGTCGTACTCGACGTTGTCAATGGCAGCTTCCAGCATGCGATGGACCATAACATCACAATAACGACGAATGGGCGAGGTGAAATGAGTATAGAGCGGAACGTTCAGCGCATAGTGATGCCACTTTGTAATGTCAATGGCCCCAGTACAGAAATATTTCGCTCGCTGCATTGGTTTGATGCACAGTTGCTGCAACACAGAGCGCTGAAATGCATGCGGTATCGATTCAAACGAGGTTTGCAGGGACGCAGAGGTGGAAGAATCGATGGTATATCCCAATTTGGCCGCAAAAGCTACAAATTCATCCATACTCCTCTTCAGAGGGTTTCGATGATTGCGTAGCAAGGCCGAATTAGAGAATCGGCTACTGATCTTTTGCGCAACAGCCATGTTCGCCAACAGCATGAACTCTTCGATCAGCTTGTTGCTGTCTTTGATCTCGTATACTCCCGTACTCACGGGGTTCCCATAATCATCAATGGCAAACCATAACTTTACATTTTGAATGGACAACGCGCCATTTTCAAACCTGCGTCGCCTCATCATCTTGCTGAATTCGTATAGTCGCAGGACATCTCCTTTTATATCTTCGATAGTCGTGTTTCCACTAATTTCAACTTGAGGCAGTCCCTCCCAGTCCTTCCCGTCAATGAGCCTCTGAGCATGATCATAGCTTAACTTGGCGCAAGACTTGATAATAGTTCGTCCAAACCAAGGAGTTCCAATCACCATCGCAGAGGAATTCATCTTCCAAATCACCGAAAAGGCCAGGCGTTCTACTCCAGGGTTCAAACTGCACAGTTCCTCACAAAGGAGCCTGGGTAACATAGGGATCGCCTTCTGGACAAGATAGACGGTTGTAGCACGATGTCGTGCTTCCTTGTCCAACGCGGTTCCTGGGCGTACAAAATGCGTAACATCAGCAATATGCACGCCGACTTCAAATGTTCCATCTCCTAATGGTTTGACGGAAACAGCATCGTCCAGATCCCGAGCAGTTTGCGGATCAATTGAAAAAATGCGCTCTGAGCGCAGATCCCGACGTTTTCTGTACTCCTCCTGTGGGATACTCCAAGGAACTGGTGGTAGGCAAGCTAATACTTCATCGGAGAACGCATCCCACGTAACTCCTGCGTCCACGAGGAGAGCATCAGTCTCTATTGAGATCTCGCCCATTTGTCCAAGTGTGCCCGTGACCACACCAAAAGGATGCTGTGAACTGGCGGGCCATCTAAGTACAGCCGCTTTGAAGAGAATGTTTTGATAAGCCACCGGGTCTTGAAGAAAATCTTTTGGCGCATGCTCAATTGGAATCGCCAGCAACGCAACGCGCTTATCGCTCTGTAAATTGGTCACATAAATTGTCAGTTGCATGCATGCATTCACAGACGCACAAAGCATACTCACGGGCTTGAACCAGACAATCTTTGGAGGTCGATCACGGTTAGCATGTCTATCTCGCATCTGAGAAATAGGAGAATCGAATTGGAGGGTCCCAGCAAACGACCGATCCTGACGACGTTCCGAAATGTAAACGACCTTTCCGTACACGCGATTCTCTACATCTTAAATTCAGGAAGGTTAAAACGAAGGTTAAAACGTTGAGGTAAAACCCTTCAAAAGAGCGCGCAAAGATACTTTACCAATATCTTCTTCATCCTCAGGAGCTAGTTCTTCCTCGCTACTATAACCCTCCGCGACGACATCACACTTGGCCTGGCGTTCCTGGTTACTCTTCCTCCTCTGTTCTCGTCGATTCCTCTCCCCATTTACTTCCTTTTGAAGATCTTGACCTTCCAGAAGCATGACGACTACTACATCTCCTTCAAACGCGCGATTCCGATTCTTCATTCCACAAATGTATATATCTTGTTCATCGTCGTTGACACTCACATACGAGTCAAAACGGTTGCGTTTGTTGATACGCAAAGAACCCAGCTTTAACGTCCCGTCCTTCAATCCTTCAGCCACTTGTGTACTCGTAATGTACCTAGAAAGTCACTAAGAGTTAAAAAGATTTATATTGTTGTTGTATAAAATGGAACTATCACGCACTCTTCGTAGATATTCCGTCTCGCGGACACATGGGGGGATGCTCGGGGGCTTCCATACGACTCTCGAACAGCACTAGATCGAGGAGAGGCGGATGCGGATGCGGGAGTATCTTGCTGGCGCCAAGATAAAGGTCCTTCTGGTGTGTTGGCCTGCGACTTTTCTCCAAACGATTTCTTCCCACGTTCTTTCTTCCGTGACAATGGGATACCGGTGTCAGGATTCCCCTCATTCTCGAAAACAGTGCGACCTTGACGATCAGAACTAGTTTGTTGATCATTCTTTCTGGGCGTTTCGTTCCGAGCTGATGCTCCCCGTCGGCGCACACCGTCGTCGGCGCCGCTCCTATTGATATGCTCATGGCTTTTGGCTTGACGTATAGACGGCGATGGTTGGATTCCTGCTCGATTGCCTTTTGGTGTTTCCGGTGCTAACCCGTAGGCCAATGCTTTACCCATATCAGTTCTCCCACCAGATAGAGTTTTTTCTTTTCTCGAACCATCCCCCGCTGTGAATGGCCGGCCGTGGGATTTCATATTTCCATTATTACTGGCCGCCTCATTACGAGAACCTTCGTGGCGAATAATTTGATGAGACTTTGCTTTGCGAATGGGTCGCTTGCTGGGAGTAGGACCACTCAATGCGGTCAAGTCTGCATAGTCAATTACTTCTTCTTCCTCGTCCTTTCTGCCAGGTGTCCGGATGCATGCATCGTGCGCTGGGTTGTTGGGCACATCCTTGAGTTTCCTTGAAGAAGTAGGTGGACCCGCGTTGGTGAGCGTCGACGGAGGAGCGGGTGTACCATCGCTGTAACTGACATCTGGATTGCCAGGACTCCGAGGAGAGGTGGAACAGGATCTGGTAACAAGAAGCTTTCCACCTGAAGCAAGGGTACGGCTTTCGATCACCAAAATAGGTGTTTCTTGATCATCCAAATGTTGTGCCTGCTTTTGCTTGTTCTTTTTTCGATTGCGTGACTTTTTCTGCCCTATACCCTCTACACCTTTGACATCTGAAGGAGGTACAGAGGGCTTGCTCTCAGTAAAGGGGTTTTCGCTTTGGAGAGCACCGTCTCCTTCCAGCACTTCCACGTCCAACGCATCTCTGGAGCCAGTCGATTTCCGTTGATGTCGCTTTCTTCTTGATTTCTTGGGATCAGACGCACCTTGTCCGGTCGTTCCATTTTCACCCACATTGCTGGTCTCCAGCTCTGCCTGAATAGGAGGAGAATGCCCTTGCGAATCTCTTCTTTGAGCATTCTTCTTGTTCTTGGTGTTTTGACGTGTTGTCGTGTTAGATGATGATTGGATCTTTGATGACTGATGTACCGGAGACTTTTCAGATGTTCCAGAGGCATGTCCATCCGTCATTTGCAATCCAGATCCTTCGTTCGTACCGTGGCTGCCTCGTCTTGCGCTGCTTCCACTATGTTGCCTGCTGTGCTTAATTGGCGAAACAGGGCCAGTTTCTTCGCTATATGCCTCATTTGCGTGGTCTTTGAGAGATGCCTTAGCGAGCTTGTGGTGAGGAGGAGGTATGTAACTATACGAGCTTCGTTCTGGATCGTAGCCACTCTTTCCACCTCGTCGACTTCCCTTGCCACCTCGACCGGGGTGAGAGTCTCTCCTCGGGAAAGTATCACTGGATGGCATCTCTGCGCTAGGCGGAATATACGACGCGGAACTCATTGTCGTTTGATACTGAGAAACAAGCTTTTCCGACTAAGAATGCGGAAAAACTTGAGTTGGACGGAATGGACGTATGGGTAGATGGAAAGACCTTGGTACATACCCTTATGCAAACCAGCTCGATGCTCCGCAGAGATTCCCACTCGTTGACCTCTCCGTATCCAAAACCTTGATTCCCTGATACCAGATGCTTTGGAAGCTGCCGACTCAAGATTAAAAAAGGGAACTGCTAAAACTCGGCCACAAGTGTCAAAGCCAAGGCACTTTCAAGTGCGCCCAATTTGGTTTAATGACGTTCACGTGATATACGCGCTACGTAAAAGACGGACTGTTCCTGTCCTGGAAGGAGTGTGACGTTTTGATGGTTTATGGGCTGGACGACTTGCAACGTCCAAGGGAGGTAGCGGGTTTTACAAATGGGTCCTTAGCGTGACGTTAAGCTCTACCTGTTTTATGCGAATAAAACCTGACTTTGAACTTGCTGGCCCTGCTTTTGTATCATTCGTTGAGCTTGCCTCGTCCTGCTGCAACTGGCTTGAGTGACCACAATGTGTCCGCCTACAGGAAAAAGCCTCAAAGAGCGCTTCAAATCGGGATATATTGTTGAACATGTTCACAGAGAGGAAACTTATATCACCGCTGACTTGACAGTCACTGGTCAGACCCGTCTTTCTCACCTCGGTCACGACGTGGCCGAGCTCGCCCTCAAAGTGACGTTTGAAACACCCTCTCGCCTGCATATTGTCATTGGTGACCGCCAAAACCGACGATGGAGGGTACCAGAGTCCATTTTTGAGCGGCCCAGTCCTGATAGAGATCTCAAGGTTGATGATCTGGCCTACAGTGTGGATGTGTTGACGGACAAACCAGGTGAAAATGGCCTTATCCCTGACACGATTTTATCGGTTACTCGTAATGAGGATGGCGCACCCGTCTTTCGCGCGAGTTTGAGTCAGATGGTGTTCAAGGATCAGTATATTGAACTGGTTAATACTGGGATTGCTCCGAAAAATGCGAATATTTATGGGCTTGGAGAGAACGTTTCAGCATTGCGAAAGGACCCTGATGGGAGTATATGGACTATATTTGCCAGAGGTATGCGGTTGGCGCTTGGGGCTTTTTCAAGTACCTCGTCTCAAAACATTTGCAAGATGCGCCAAGTCCACCAAATGAAAATCTTTACGGCTGTCGTAAGTGTGTCGCATGATGGCATGGTTGATTACTTTCATTGCTTCACTCTTGGTTCGTTTAGATCCTGTGTACATGGAACTTCGCGATGGCAAAGCTCACGGTGTGGTAAGAAGCCTCGCTCTCCAATCCATTCCGTCATGAACATTTGTTGACATTGACCCGGTGCTATAGTTTCTTCTTAACAGTAACGGAATGGACATTGAGCTGCATCCAGGAACTCTCATCTACAAGATCATTGGGGGGATTCTCGAGTTCTATGTCCTGCTCGGACCAACGCCTTTGGATGTCTGCCGCCAATATACAGATGTTGTTGGACTGCCAGCCCCTATCCCTTACTGGTCCTTGGGATTTCATCAATGTCGATGGGGATACTATACATTGGATGAAGTCAAGAAGGTCGTTAGGAATTTTAAAAAGGCAAAGATTCCGTTGGACTGTATGTGGTTTGATATTGAGTACGTACTGTTTCTGGTGTCTGGGTAACATCATCTCCATTGCCGGCTGACCGGGGCTTTGTATGGAACTGTGTAGCTACATGGAAGAATTTAAGGATTTCACGTACGACCCCATCCGTTATCCAGCAGCAGAACTTCAAGCGTTCATAGACAAACTTCACGAAAGAAACCAGCACGCCATCATGATTGTCGACCCAGGCGTCAAAGTCGAAACAAATTACCCGTCCTTTGAACAAGGTCTTCAACTCGACATTTACATGAAAAACCGCAAGAGAGCCAACTTTATGGGGAAAGTATGGCCAGGACGGGTTCACTTTCCAGACTTTTTTCATCCAAAAGCTTATGAATACTGGGATCGGTGCTTGAGGGAATGGTACGAAATCTCGCATTTAGACGGTGTTTGGCTGGACATGAACGAGCTGGCCAATTTCTGCAAAGGCGAATGCAAGGACGATCCCAGAACACCGAATAAGGCGGTGAACCTGGATGAATTGATCCAACCGGATCTTTCTGGGCCGGCTTTGCATATTCATCCTTTGGAACCCGACGAGGAGGTACAGAGTGATGCCGGGTCAAATTGTTCTACAGCGACAGAGGTTGAATCTGTATTTGATGACTTGGAATTTGACGCTGGGGAGGATATAGGAGAAGTTGGAGAGGTACCGGTGGAAGAGTTGCAAGAAGTGCAGACATATTCCTTAAAAGATCTTCTCGAGTCAAATATAACAAATGCCGAGTCTGGAGGGGGCAAGGAGGGAGCTGTCGGGTTTTCAATTACTGGGACTCAACAAAAGGAATCTACTGCGACACCAGAATCAACTCCTGAAATCATCTCCAGTTGGGAAGGTTTGCCTCGACCCTGCACGCCCGAACCGCCCAACGTTCCACCCCTCTCCCAGAGCCTACCCTCTCAGCCTCTCTACTCCCCCGACCGACGTCGTTCCCTCCCTCAGCGTCGTTGCTCCGCCTTCCACCACAACTGCTACACACACAGGGAATCCCACCAGTTACACCATCACACTCACCACTGTACACTCGAATACCCGCCGTACCGTATCAACAATGCAGGGGAGCGAGAAGATCTCCACACAAACACAACATCGATGGACTCTGTGCATTATGGCGATGTTTTGGAGTACGATGTACATAATTTGTATGGACACATGGAGTCCATTGCAACATACAAGGCTTTGACGGTTATAGAAGGTGGAAAAAGGCCTTTTGTGCTATGTCGGAGTACGTTTGCCGGAAGTGGACGGTGGACTACCCATTGGTTGGGTGATAACTGTGAGTCTTTAGCATACGTGCAGCATGGGATGCTTGACTATTACTGATTTGATCATGTTCAAAAGTCTCAACCTTTGAATCTCTCGCCTATTCCATCCCTGGCTGCATCAATTTTCAGCTCTTTGGCATCCACATGGTCGGTCCGGACATTGGAGGGTTCAACGGAGAACCAAGTGAAGAACTCCTGACTCGCTGGATGCAAATGTCTGCTTTCTACCCTTTCAGCCGGAACCACAACGTTCGGGGCGCCAAACCCCAAGAACCGTTCGTTACACCCCAAGTTACGCATGCATCTCGCATTGCGCTGCACACGCGGTACAAGCTTTTACCGTACTGGTACACGCTTTTCCACGAAGGCTGGACAAGGGGAACACCCGTTCTCCGTCCGTTGTGCTGGGAGTTTCCTATGGATCCCAAAACCTGGGACATGGACACGCAATTTATGATCGGTCCTTCCATTTTGGTTGCACCTATATTGCGACAAGGTCAAGAGAGGATCGTACCTTACCTTCCCAAATCCAACTGGTACAATTTGTATCATTACAAGGAGATCCCCTCGGCGATGCCGTTCATGTCGGCGCCGCTCACGGAGCCTACCCCCGCGTTCATACGAGGGGGATATGTCGTGCCTACCCATCATACACCCAGCTTGACTGTACATGACAGTCGGGAGTCGGGGTACGACCTCCTTGTTGCACTGGATGACTCGCAGAATGCCGGGGGAACATTGTACATTGATGACGGCATATCCTTGAAAACAACTCCTACAAAGTCATCGTATGAAATATCCTTTACGGCAACCGCATCTTCTGTTCGGTCCTCTGGTGCAAAGGTTGCAGAAGACGTTGAATGGGCCATCCCGGATTCGTATATAGTTCATGAGATTGTGGTGATGGGAGTGCGGACAGAGGATGAGAATACGGATAAGCCGTTTCGCGTTACAGTGAATGGAGATGCCAGACAGTCGACTTTGGATATAGGGGTGTTGAAAATGGATGTGGGCGTCCATGTTTCTGAGGCCTTTGAGGTGGTTTGGGGCTGGGGGGACTGACAAACCATTGAGTTTTTTTCTTTTTTGTTTCCCCTTGTATATAGTTGAACTTTTAGGGCCGATATCTCTCTCTTTTTGTTGCATAGTTTTCTTGTAACTGCCGTGTACTATGTAAAACTTGGAGGAACGACTTTCTCAACATTTTTTCACCGTCCCAGTTCAACATTGAATGTGACAAGTCACTTGTTTCAAGTTTCCATATGACAATTAGGATTTTGTCACTCCATGTGAATGATATTTGGACAGATCCGTAGAATGCAGGATCCTTGGCAGTCCGTTGAATCATCCAAGGATGTTTTAGAACACTTTGCAAGTTAATCACACGTGATTTGCTTATATAAGCAACAAATTTCACATCGCACCACCCTCAGCTATCGAATGACCTTTCTCATTCCACTTGAACAAATGCCAATCTGTTTCTTTTTTTTGTTTCGTGGCGCTGAGTTTTAACTAAAGATGGCTCGATCATATGCAAAAAGTAGGCCCACTTTTATGAATGTGGTTTTTCTTGCAGAGTCAGTCTGTTTTGTTTGGGTTGGTGGTTGACATGATTGAGAGCGTGATCCCATCTGGCTTGCTTTGCTTTTTGTTTATGGCCCGTTGAGAAGTCTCTCTCGTTTGTTCACTGACGTCTCCGCGTCGAATATGTAAAGTGCATATCTATTACTTTCATCTAAAAGGACCCCCTGTCACCCGCACACGATCCTGAACCAAACGCTGGCAATGATGATGGACGGGAATGCAACCCGGTTGTTGAAGCAGACGCTTGTGATTGGGATGCAAGAGATTGATTTTGGTATGAAGGAGTTGCGTATTATGTTCATTAACATACTGGTTTAACATTTGCTTGTAGCGACAGCAATAGTATGCTCATTTCTGTCGGCCCTCCTCCTTGTGGGAACAATTCGCATCGTCCTCGAAAAGTGTTTGATGGATACCATCTCATGGCAAGAAAAGGTGGGTACGTGTGTTTGAACATTGTCCCATACCCGTGTGTTGAACGGTTTGGTTTGGATTTTAGACCTGCAAAACACATGCCTCCGATTTGAAATCTGGCGTACCGACCTAGACTCCAACACCATATTCCATTGAGCACACTACACCAAAGCGCCCACACCCAAAAGGGTTGCTTCCATACCATTATTTTACTGATACCTGATACAAACATCTTTGCATTTGTATATATGTAGACTAACGATATATTGTTTGATATTATTATGAGAGATCTTTATTGTTAGTTCTTTGTTTGCTTTTGGATTTGCTTGTTTTTGTCATTGTGGAGAATAGAGAGAGAGACATAGCTCCCTGATCGTCGTGGTTGCGCAAGGCTGACTTGCAGATCTTGCAGTGATTTGGTATCTAGCACACACACTCGTCTCAATTGCCTTGAAACCCCAAAGGCATGTTGCGCAGCTGTTCACAACGGGATAACAGCATGTCTTTTCCTTTGATGCATATCCAGTTGTGCTTTGACCTGCAACAAGAACCAGAAGCCTTTCCTTGTTTGCAACGGCAACAGTCGCCGATCTCCCCCCCTCAAGGACACGTTTTGCAAAAGTTGCCCCAAACGTTGGTCTTTTCAATTTTCAATATTTGCTATAAAAGGTTACATGAATCCTTTGCAGCCAATCAGCTTCATCCATCATTTAGTCTAATATGGCAATGTGGCGCAGTCCACCCCAAGCGAATTTCCTACAAGAACCGAGTTGTCCGGACGGTTTCCCCCTCCTTCCCATCAACCCCCATCTTCGACCTCCCAACCCTTTCCCCACACTCTCCAACAACACTTGCAAACATGGTTCAGCAGTACAAAGTTGGTGCGTATATGGTTGGTCCTTTACTGTCTGGTACGCGTTCTAACACGTTGGTTTTAACAGCCGACATCACCCTTGCCGACTTTGGTCGTAAGGAGATTGAGCTTGCCGAGAACGAGATGCCTGGTCTCATGACCTCCGGGAAAAGTACGGAAAGTCCAAGCCTCTTACCGGTGCTCGTGTTGCTGGATGTCTGCACATGACGATCCAGACTGCTGTGTTGATGGAGACTTTGATTGTGCTCGGTGCTGAGATTACTTGGACCTCTTGCAACATCTTCTCCACACAAGACCACGCTGCCGCTGCCATGGCTGCTGCTGGTGCGTTGCTATCTTTTTGCATCTTTCTTTTTGGCGCGGTTGGCTTACATGGCGCTTTTAGGTATCCCCGTGTTTGCCTGGAAGGGTGAGACTGATGAAGAGTACAACTGGTGTCTTGAGCAGCAGTTGAAGGCGTTCAAGGATGGCCAGCCACCAAACATGATCCTTGACGACGGTGGTGACCTTACTGGTCTCATTCACGAAAAGTACCCTGAGCTCCTTGCTGGTATCAAGGGTGTCTCTGAGGAAACCACCACTGGTGTCCACAACTTGTACCGTATGTTGAAGGAGGGCAAGCTCAAGATCCCCGCCATCAACGTCAACGATTCTGTTACAAAGTCCAAGTTTGACAACTTGTACGGTTGCCGTGAGTCCCTCATTGACGGTATCAAGCGTGCCACCGATGTCATGATTGCTGGAAAGATTGGTGTCGTCGCTGGTTACGGTGACGTTGGCAAGGGTTGTGCTGCCGCTCTCAAGGGTATGGGTGCCCGTGTCAT